TGAAGATATTCATGGTGTTGTTCTAGGTTGAATGCTCAAAAACAGTTTTGCATAGCCAGACCAATCCCAACACGGAGCCAACACCAGAGAAGGGTCTGGATGAACCCATCATAATTCCGTACTATGGAAAAAACTGTCATGGGCAGTGCTAAGCCCAGAATGCTGCATCAATAACCTTGAAAAATAGTGATGGCAGATAGTGGAAGGGGAAGGAGAATTCTGTCTGAAATAGGTGTCCAATGGCAGGAGTATACGCACAGTCTACATCCTGTGCGTCAAACTAGCTTGAGAGTAATGGAGGAAAGAAAATAAAAGCTTAAGAGAGACGTTTCAAACCTACCTACCATATAAAGTGGGTGTAAGTGTTGGAATGTTGGTTTCAACAGGTTAAAGAAATAGGTAGATCTAGGCCATTGAAATGGCTTGGTGGGAGATGGTTTCAGACACTGTTCAACAAGCACTTTGGTTGAAATATACTGATCCACTAGTAAAATGTGAACTAAAATGTGAACTAAATTATGGAGAGTTGATGCTTTGTGGGAGTGTTAGTTAACAAATACACTGATTGGACTGATCATACTGTTTTGTTTTTGTTTTAAAGATTATTATTATGGCATTTTTGCCACTATTAGATAATGAACATGACAGGAAACGTAGAGAGAGAATGAGAGGTACAGTATGAGACACACATTGCAGTTATGTGGTATTGGCCTTAAAGGTGTAATAGACGACATTCAGAGTCTGGATCGGGATTGCCTGCACATGGGTGCACCTCTGACATCACAAACAAACATGAAGGTGGCTGAGCTGAAATGCTGCTAATGAGCACCAACAGTGCTAACAATGACAACAGGGTCAACACAGCTAACACTGTTAACCCGGAGATGAAGTGGATATTGGGGGTATTATGCTTCTGTGTCGCTGCTGTCGCACCGCAGCAGGTCGGATTATTAAGTGAATTTTCCTTGTGTTGGCTAAAGGTAATATAACACAGGGCTGCGTCAGGTCATGTTCAGGTCAGATGCAAACCTAACAAGCAGAAGGTCAAAAACTGTTTCATAAAGCCCAACAGTTCAACTCTCTTTTCAGACCAGTCATCCCTCAGAGAGACAAAGGTGAACTACCAGGCATTAGGAAATAGTTCATGACCTACTCCTTGGCTAGAAGAGGAATGATGAAACCTCAGAACAAAAACTCATTGGTCGGGGCGTCTGGTGGCTCAGTGGTTAAGTCAGATACAGTATAACCGCAATGTCCTTGGTTCAAGTGTTTGTTCATGTCATATCCAATACGCATACCAATAAACTAACAGAAATAACCTACACCTTAAATAGGAAATGATATATTTAGTATTGTTAAAGTTTGACGTGTGCGATGATACTGAGTAAGTTTATATAATAATCATTACTGCGTTTATACAGTTGGAGTGTTAAAAAACTGGCTGTATTCTTGCTTTATGGTTGTTTTTAGAGCCCATCAAATGGAAGGATGGAGGACAGAGGAAGGCGAGCTGGGCTGAAATACATTAATGCACACAATAGTACACTCTGTACACTCCGTATCCTGCCGTATCCCGCCTCTTAAGGACTATATGATACCTGCATTGTAACCCTTGATAAGAGCTCTAGTGTGTGCTCTCCTTTAATGGTGCACCACTCCATGGCGTGTATTCACCTCACTTTCCATCCTACCATCGCTGCCTTTATTGCCCAGTGTCCTTATTGTAAGAATGAGAAACTAGCTTTCCTCCTGCTTTCTGTGTGAACGCCTCTCATGCCACAGGCAAGGAGAGAAAAGTGGGTCACGGGCAGACGGACCATACAGTCGTAAGAATATGCTGGCTAGGGTTTTTATTTTTGTTTTTCTTCCCTGTTTTTTGTGTTATAATGAGTGCAGTCACTCTGCTAACACTGAAATAGAGTCAGAAGAAAAAGGAAAACAAAAGCAGAAGAAGAGACGGAAGTAGAGGGCAGGAGGAGAAAAAAAACTATTGATTTATGAAATCGAAGCTGTGAAGCACAAAGAAGGTATTGCTTTAAATCACTGACCTGAAACATAAAAATATGTCTTAAGTTTTTAGAGCTAACACGTCAACAAAATTTATACTAATCAAACAATACAATCACATTTTGAGATTCACAACTTGTGTTCTCTGCACTCACAGACTGGTTTGCAAATTCACAGCCCTAAATACAGTTTCTCTCTTAAAATTGCAATTTTTTTAATATCATATGATGTACAATAAAGCATTTTCTTACTGTACAGACACAGCCAGTGACATTCGGGCTAAATCCTGCTGTAAGGCCTCATTCATGAAAATGTTCTCAGGAAAAACCGATGCAGTGCTGGACTCTGGTGGCCATTTCATGTAATTGAAACAGAGACCTGAAACTATTTTTTGAAGGTGAGCAATGAAGCAGTTCTCAGAATGTTGCTCCTTTTTCTCCCCCGCCTTGTCAGACATGCGTTTCTGCAACATTCGCTGTCTTCTGTTTAATATTTGAAAAGACAGTTCTTAGAAGGTAGTTGCAGAAAACGTGTTTCAACACTAATCTGTTTCTATCTTCCTCTTTTTAATGTGACATCTGACAATCATAATATGTAATGACAAAACAAATGAAACTGAAGAGACATTTTACTTTAGAAAAAGAATTTGGCTCTTTTTCGTTTTATGAATTGGTGTTGAAGTGAAGTGAAGTGAAGTGTTGCTGAGGACAGTAAGTCAAAAATGTCCCTACTGGACAAAATGAAACCTTTGATTCTGAGAAACATGTCAGCAAAATAGGAACAGCACAGTTTGTTTTGTCATGTGTCACACCAAGCGAATGTGAGCTTTGAGACAGCTGCATTCAGTTTTCCTGACGGGAGAATGCACCGATCCTTTGACGCTATTAATTTAAATTACTTAGCTTGTATGTAACATTTTTTAGGTGCAGGAGAGAAGTCTGTTAGTTTTAAGTTAGTGTATTTAGAATTTGGTCTTCTTTCCCACGTTCTAGAAAAGCAGAAGTCTTTATTTTCAGAAATCAGCATTAGGTCAGTCAACACCAAAAACCCACAGTGTCCTAAAATGACCTGCAAGTAAATAACTCATTATAAAATGCTGTATAAAAGTGTTAGATCATTATTCTTTTTAAAACCTGATCTAGGCGCCCATAGTACATATGGGTTCACAACATCCCATCTGATCTGTGTACCGATAAAAAGCAATTGTCACACATTGGTTGATGTCATGCAATTTTAAAAAGCATCTACATTTTGTTTTCCTCTTTTAGCCTCAGTGCCTCGCTGTCTGTTGGATTCACACCCCATCTTCAGCCACAAACAACTCAACACAACCTATGTGGTTTCTGCTTTCGATCTGTATAAGGGTTTAGCCATTTGATTCGATAAACATCTGTGACAGTTTCTCCTTCCTTTCTCAGAAATATTTTACACAGAAACCAAAAAAGTAGGGGGTAGCTTTAAAATATATATTACAACAATCGCAATATAACTGACTTAAGCCATCTTGATCTTACATAATGCTGAATGTTGAGTTCCTGCATCCACAGATATCTATCATTTATTATTTTGATCCACTTCCAAGGAGCACTGTGATAGTTCAGGTTTGGTGCCAGAGTTGTTTATGGTCCATTTATCGTCCAATCAGATATGACCATCTGTAAGACCAGGTGGTCTATATGTAAATTTGGCACTTACTTCATCTGTTTAGACCTCTGAGCGCTGCATCTTTGCAACAACACCACTGCCTGCCCACTTAACTCTCTGCACCCTCCCCACTTCCAGTATCATGACAAAAAAAAAACCACCAGAAAAGGCTATTTTTAGAACTCTCTCAGAGGCGTAAACATACATTGCACATAATAATATTAACAAGACCAAAACTTCCAAGTAATGTATGCTTTACTGAATCAACACGGCTACCACAGGCTTATCCAAACGCTGAGAAAAATGCCCTCTGTATCCAAAAGGTCAATGTTTGCCAGTCGCCAGTTTAAATGGTGCAATAAGGTGATAGTCATCAACTGATACAGCTGGGATGTGTCATGTGGTTGCATCATATTACCAGGTTTTTCCATTTAATTAGAAATGAATCACAGGAACTGGAAAAAAACAGAAACTGCAAGATGGAAATTATAAGTTTAAGGTGTCGATTGCAGCAGACACATCTCTTTGTGAGGCTTGAAGATCTCTTTTTAAAGTTTATAAGGGTCAGCTTTAACTCAGGAGGACTTGCTTCATCTTTCAAATCTTTATTATCACTACTATTATTTAAAGGATTCAGGCCCTAAATTTGAATGCAACACCAAAATTCTTCTCTTTCTCCTGTCTTGTTCTGTCTGTGGCTTTCATGCAACCTCTCGAGCCTCCATATCGGCCTTGTTTACTGAGTGAGTTGAACTATTGTTTCCCATACAAAAGTGGGCTTGCTTTTGGCCTCATTTGAGTCTTTTGTTTGCCATCTCAGTTTAGCTGAGGTTCTCTAAATATAGACCTTTGATTTAACCATTAGCTGTCTTTAGTTCCAATTTGCTTTTAAGCCACAGGGGTTTCTGCAGTGTTAAGTGAGCCTCTTTTTTTCACTGCTTTTCTGTTAACCCTTGTACTGTAATTAGTGCTACAAGTGAGTCAGCATATTCACTGCCATTCATAATTGTAAAGGCTTACAGGAAACTCTTAATACGTCTGAAATATTTCTCAAGCATCCACTTCCATTTTCTCCTCCTTTGTTCTCTGTCATATTTACTTTGAAATAACTGAAATAATTTGAAATGCACCAGTTAAATTCTGTGAATATGGCGTTTCGTATGCTCCTGGAAAGAAATATTCTTAGTGAGGGGAAGTATACTTACAGTGGATACTGAAGAATACAGAAAACATTTCTTACTGGTTTTTTTTGCAACACTTCTGATCTTAGCTCAGCCCCAGTTGCAACTTCCTCAACACGACTTAAAAAAGCCAGTTACCGTGTGGTCACTTCTCTGTACCCAGTCATTTTTCTTTCTCTTGTCTGTGCTACTCTGACACGACCATGTGGGGAATGAAACATCTGCTGATCCTGTCAGGTAAGAGGGATCCAATGAAATATGAACCACAATTGCTGGAGGTTAAGGTAGCTTTGGGATTATAAGGTTTTCATTTAGTATTATTACAGTTATATTATGTTTTTCAGCTGGAATTTGGTGAGATTTGAAACGGTTTATAACATCATATTTCACATTTTGTACTGAATGTAGATTGCAGAATAATCAAATATACAACTAAGAGCCATTTCCAAAACTGTTAAAAATACTGAAATTTTCTGGAATGATTTAAACTGATTTTAAAATTCAACAAATACATGTTAAAGTTCTGCCTACATTAAAATCACTGAGGTGCCTTTAAGCAACTCACTTAACCCTCTGTGGTAACAGATCGGTGTGAGAGCGGGGGAGTATCATCTGTAGACAGGACGAATAAAGGTTAAAACAAAATCAGAAAATTAGTACATTTTGTTTTAAAAAGTGGGATAATATATAGACATTCATCTTAAATAATAGAAATAAGTATCTGAAGAATATAATTTGTTGGTTAACTGGTGACTCTAAATCTGCTGTAGGTGTGAATGTGAGCTCAAATGGTTGTCTGTCTCTGTGTGTCAGCCCTGTGATAGTCTGGCGACCCGTTCAGGGTGTGACCCACCTTTCATCTAATATCAGCTGTGATAGGCCCCAGCACCCCCGCGACCCCTGACATAATAAGCAATTACAGAAATGAATAAATGTGTGATTAGTATTATTAGCCAGAAGATGTCAGTTTACTGAATAACTAAACGTAAGCACAAATTACAATCTCAAGTTGACAAAGTATACACTTATGCAGATGCATCTAGATGCAGACATTTCCTTTATACTTGTGAGCAGGGCTGAAAATTTACTTTTTGGCTCACCGGCCAAGGGTACTGGTAGATAAAAAAATCCACCGGCCAAGCATATTTTTTACCAGCCAAAACAATGAGTTGCCTTTTTCTGCCACATATACATTTGTTTCAGTACTTTTTATTGATATAATACAGTATTATGTTTAATACAAGCTTAAAGGAGAGGCCATGAGTGAAATTTGAAGCAAAATTAGTTTAATATTATCAAGTTTTGAGCTCAAAATTCCATTTGCACTTTGTACTTCAAACATTTGTACTTCAAACATAACAGTAATTTACAGTAACATAGCAGGCTATGTGACACTTGCTGCGTTCATGGTCACAGATGTTCTCCAACTTCATCGTTTTGTTATGGATGACAAACAAGTTGTTACATTTTTTTTCTTTAGCATATTGCCAACATACATTACAGTTCATTACTGCATCCTCAGCATCGTAGTGTAGCCAGCCGCTTGAAATGCTGTTATCGCCGAACCTCCATTTCTCACAAAACTTTCTTTTTTTCTGTAACGTTACAGCTTCAGCTTTGTCCTCGTCGTTTTTTAATTTTGTCTGTAGTTTACATACACCTGGTAAATGTCCCCACATGACGCCCGTGGTGATAGCTTGCTTGCTACTAACAGCAGATTGTGGATTTAGGCACACGATATGCCTACGTGCGTGCACGTCTTCTGAGTAGCCCTTATTACATGACTATTTTGGTACAAACATTTACCCGCCAATGTGGCAGAAAGCCTTCCAGGATTTAATCGCCAAATGGAAAATCTACCCGCATTTGGCGCTTGGCAGGTGTTAATTTTCAGCCCTGCTTGTGAGGATACTGTATTGTCATTTACATTAATTCTGGGGGCCTGCACTAGGATTAGGTGTTAGGATTAATTTAAAACAGTATCAATAATTTCAAATACGAAGCATTTATCCATCTGTATACGAAAATTGTTTAGAATAATATCTGAAATGAAAACCGTATTCTTTTACATTTAATGATGTGTATAACCAGGCATGCAAATAAACAGGCGGAGATGAAAATTATACAAATTCCATGACAAATTGTATCAAAACAATTAAAATAACTCCAACTGTTTTCTATATATTTGTGGATAATACTTTAATATTTTTTAGAATTTTTCAATTTTAAATTTTTCCGCCCAACATTGTTATTTTCGCTCTCTTTTTTTATTATATATAAAATGATTAAAATAATTAAACAAGTACCGTGTACACATCTGCTAAACATTTTTTATAGAATTGTGTATATTGATTATAATAAATCATGAACTCTAATAAAAGGCACAGATTTTTGTTAGCAATTTCTACGTAATACTCACATATGTACAGAATTCATTCTGAATTCATCAAGTATTCCATTGAAAACATACAAGGTATTTGTAGTTACTTATTGAAAATTAACTATTTTGCTGCAATATTTTTCTGAGAAAACATCACTATAGTCTTTATTATTTATTGTTTGTTTGTTATTATTTATTTATCTATTTATTCATTGTTGTTGTAATTATTATTATAACACCATCAGGACAAATGTTTTCTAGAAGCTGCAGAATAATTTTTGTGCCAGTTAATGTGTCTTTTTTAATGATTAAAATTCACTACATTATAAAATAAAGGTAAAGCAAACTAATATGCTGCAAAACAAGACATACTGTGTAAATTATATATATTTAATTTATTTTGGAGTAAAGCAACAATGTAATACTGTGGTACATAAAAGCTAATTTCCATTGTTGTTTGTACACCGTAGATGTCCTTTATTCTTAAAGGAGCAATAAGCGAAATTCATCATTTCTACATTGAAGGAATTAAAAAATTGCTATGTGAAGAACTAGAGGTGTAATTTCATCTGGAGTATAGCATGACCTCACACACCCTCTCTCTGTGTTGATCTCCAGCCCATTGTTTACAAGCCTAGCGGGCAGCTATGAAAATTATGGATAAAATAAAAAAGTAATTATATATATAAGGAAAATGTTTGAATGACAAATAACTACAGAGTGAAAGGAATACAGTGTTCTGTGTAGTGAATTCAGCTTTACAGGTCTTGAACTTTAATATAATTATTATTATTATACTAATGGAAAAAATTTAATTAAAATTTCTAATTTTTTTTTTTTTTTTACTAACTATCACTTCAGATTGAATTGAACAGCTGTGTAGCTTCCACAAGCAGTGATGGACACTGGCTCATGAGACTAAACAAAACGGCACCACCTACAGAAACCTTAACTGTATTAAATGAAAATTCATGAAATCCATGAAAAGACACCACAGTTCTAGGGATGCTGTTTGAGTCACAATGTATTTGAAGAAGCTGATTATGCGAATCATTTTAAATTTTACCCTGCTCTAAATGGCAGCGATTAATCAACAGCATATAATTAGCCATGACAGACTTTGTTTCTATGAAAGAATAACTTTTTTTTTTATTTTGTTACAGTGTTTGTGCTCCTGGCAAGATGTCAGCAAAAGCCAGAAGGTAATCAGTGTTCACACATGTGCAAAGGCGTCAGTCCTCCACCTTCCCTCTATTATTTCTCCGGGGTGTAAAATGTCAATAAGGTTGCAGCAAAACCATGCACAACAGCCCTCTCTTGTAATGACATACCCTGGGCAAACTAAAAGACTTTACTGTATGCCTTTTTTTATTCTGCCTCCTTAGTTACTGTGTCACCCACACTCAATATCTTCTCTGGGGACTTGATTTTTCTGAGCTGCGACAACGGTGGAAGCAGTGTGAAATGGTACTTCAAAAACCAGGAACAACAGCAGACGAACAAAACCTGGAAGATAGGAGTTGCTTCACCTAAGCACTCAGGCATGTATCATTGTGAGAGCAATGGGCAGAAGAGTGGCAATTTTTCCATTGACGTCCTGGGTGAGTATTTAAGTTCAAACTCTCAAAGGTGTAAAGGGAGATACATGAATCCATACACATATTTGTATTATTTGTTTCCTTTACCATTCAGATTACGTTCCAGCTGCCTCACTCACCATCAAGATAGGCCAGCCAGTGGTGCAGACAGGAGGTTCAGTTGTCCTGCAGCTTGACAATGAGGATGGTCTGCAGGGATGGAAGTGCTGGGTCTACAGGGGAAAAGGACCAGGGGAGACAAAAAGGATTACGCTGAGGTTGAAAAATGACAGTGTGAGTGTCGTCTTTCAACCCAAGAGACTGGAAATCCCAGAGACCATTTTCTGGTGCTCTGATAATAAGCAAGGCAGAAGTAACCAAGTCATCGTCAGGACCTCAGGTAGGCTGACTGTTATCTTAATACTTTGTAATACAAAGTAAAGGGGAGCTGCAGATTCTCCTTTCACAGTGTTACATTATTAGATTTATTAACATGTCCAAATCATTCTTCATTTTCTTTCAGAAAAGGAAGTATCACTGGAAATGTATCCTCTCCCTGCCGTAGTTGGGGAGAGTCTGAGCCTGAGGTGCCTTGCCTGGGGCACAGATCAAATTAGCAGCACTGTTTTCTACAAAAACAATGCAGTCCTTCTGAAAAGTCATAGTCCTACCCACGAAATCTCTGAAGTGACAGAATCTGCAAGTGGAAGCTATCGGTGTAATGCCATCTTCAAACACAGGGCGCACACTGATGGGCCCCCAAGCAATGTGATGTCTGATGATCAAGATGTGTTTGTCCAACGTATGTCAGTTTCCCTCTTGTATGCAATACTGTATGCTTCACACATGCATTTTGTTTTTCCAGTAGACATCTTGTTAAGTCTGTCTCCTTATTTGTCCTTTTCAGTGCCTCCTGTAAGGGCAGTTCTCTCAGTTCTCTCTGCAAACACTGGCATGTCGTGCTCTTGTCAACAATGTCCCAGTGATAGGTCCTTTCACTGGTACTACAAGAAGCCTGATGAGCCATGGGCACTTATGGATTCTGGCAAGGACTTCATGATGCCAAAAGAGGGTGGTACTTATGCATGTAGAGCTGTGTGGGCTAGCGGGAGGTCTTTACTCAGCAACAGTCACGTTTGTGAGTTCCTGCTTTTGTTCCTGCTAACAGCCTTTAACATTGTCTTCCTTTGCCTTTACATATTAATAAACATTAACTTAACTCATCACGAGTACCAGCCAGTTTTTGAGAGCAGTTGTATACTGTATTTTGTTACCATGGAGGGACCTTCAAAGTTTAAAAAAAGAACCCTGGTGATGTATTGGCAGTTATCTCACCGTTAATTTTCTCCTGAATTGTCAATCTTAAAATTACATTTCTGGGTCCAACATCTACTTTAATGACTTTGGGGCAAAGTAATCAGTCATAATCTGTGCTCACGTTCCCTTCTCCAATTGGAGTGAAAAGACACAGGACGAACACTAGTCTCCTGAAGGGGTGGTGCAGTGGTGAAACCACGTAACACAGACAAAGGAAATGATTCTAAAGTGAGTTGTTTCGGTTTATCAACAGTCTCTGGCATTTAGCAGGCAGGGACGGTCTTAGAAGTGATGCAATAGGGCTGGATTATGGGGACTGCACGATCCAGTATTTTTGGAGCTTAACCCATGCTATGGACTCCAAGTCAGGGTATCGCTGCATCTGTGGCATCAATTTTGATCATTTTTAAAGCCGCTCTTGTACGCCCTTCAACTTTATGGCAGTGCAATACTAAATAGCTGGAGTACCCCTTTAAGTAAGTTAAACCCATGCAACTCTAGCTTGCTGTAGATAATTTGGCCTGCTGGAGCTCTGTTTGTTTCCACATATTGCTCTGAAAATTCATAGATCAAAGTGTTCTTTTTTACAAGCCCCCCAGAAAGTGCATCCAGCTTTGAGGCCAAGTTTTGTTTTTGGCCAAATAGTAGAATTACATCCATCAAGTGATGCCATGTGGCCAGAAAGACTTTAACAGACTCACACTGCAAACAAGATGTCTGTAAATCTGTGGATACTTTCTTTGAGTGTCACAAACCCCGTGAAATGAATTGTTTCTGTACGTTCAAACCAGAGCTTCCAAAGAGGCAAAGTCTCTCGCGGACGCCCAAGAAGCACGACTGTCAAAAATATCTGTGGCAGCTTTGGTCGCTCTAGTCGCTCATGACATGAATCACTGAACGTTAGATCGTGTTTGTCAATTTAAAGGAGCCGCCAAGCGGACTACTGGCTTGAAAGCAGCGTAGTTGCTGCTTGCTGTTGTCCAGTCAAAAAGATCATAGTTGGCCTACAGAAAGTTATGTTAAAAAAAAAAAAAAAAAAAACGTATGTCAACCCATTCAAACCAAGCAAGGAAGACTTGCATGCTACGTTGCAACATTAGCCTGCAATTCTCTTCTCTATTACTAACATGACACACTTTAAAACTCACCAGACCAACTAACTACGTCCACGACGCGTTCCCAAGCCTCATTCTTTTTATTTTGGTCTCTGTAACCGAACAGCGACACATTATAAAGGACTGAGTGGGCGCGAATGTAAGTAAACTTCTCGCAGGGCTCAACAGTGCGAGCGTTTCACTCGCATTTGTGACTAAAAATAGGTGTGTGCAAACTGTAAAAAATATTTAGGGGCACATGTGCGCATAAAAAAATCAGCCGAAGCAGCCTATATTTTTGTCAATAAAAAAATATGATAATCTAACCGCAAATGTTGGAGGAACTCCAGCCGTCTTCCCTCTTCCCTCTTCCCCGTGTGACACGGTTATGGGCGGTTTTCCAAGCCACTGTCGGCACAATGAATATAAGTCCCACTGTCAGCAGGGTGGAAATAAGTCAAAGTGTGGAGGAGAAGCCTGCTCCGTTCTCCCCGCAGTTAGGGACCGTTCGCCATGGTACCGCTGCTGGGCAGGGTGGAAATAAAGCCCTTTCACACAGAGCGTGCAAAGCGCAGACCTCCGCCGACGAACCCATTCATTGTGTATGTGCTACCGCGGCGCAAGAGCGCACCGCTCTGCCGGCGAGCTGAGCGGCGCACGAGAGGTCTGCGCGCCGCCAGCCTGTGCTCGAATTGAAATTTTTTTTAATTTCACCGCAACGCGCTGTGACGACACCTTGGCCCGTCCAGTAGCAGAGAAGAGCCTGAAGTAGACCCGGAAGCGGTCACCATGGAGCTGCAGCTCCTGAACGAGACTGTACTCCCCCAAATCCTGTCTTGCGTGCCTTGCTCTCCGCTTGCTCTGCGCCCTACCCCGCGGTGGGCGCCGCAAAAATCGCACTCTGTGTGAAAGAGGCTTAAGTCCTGCAGAGTTTCAGAGGACCTGGAGAATGTTTTAGGATAGTAATAACATTATATAAGATAATCATATTACAAAGATAATATAGTCCTATATAAGGTAATAACATTAAAGACAAAATTAAATTGCAATACTTTTTCAAAACTTGATGATGATTATTTTACCTTTCTGTACATTTTGTATACAAATTCATTAAATAATTTTGCTTGTAAATGTCTATTTGCATGATGTTTATTACGGAAAACACATTATTTGATCAATTTACATTGTGCCCCTAAAGTTCTTTGTGCGCTCCTTACTTTTTCAACTTAGGAGCACATGTGCTCCTTGGGAAAAAAGTTAGCGTCAAGCCCTGTCTCGATATCCATTGTCGGAACAAGTGTGCCGTAGGAACCAAAGTTACATGGCTTGTTCTCTGGGACCCGCTTCATCGAAGCACGTCAGCATTCTGATTGGTTGTCGCTGAACCGCACCAGAACTCATTACCATAAAGTTAAACTAGTTTTAACTCCCCTCCGGACCTTCCGGTCACTTTGGTCGCTCAAGACGCACAGCTGACGACCAGGTCACCCAAGTCACCCAAGTTGCCGGGCTCTCATTGAAAATGAATGACTTCCGCCGTTTTGGAAGAGCTGGTTGCTGTTGGTTTGAACGTACAGTTTCACTATCGGAATTTGATCCATTTGGTCCGAATTTTTTTTTTGGAAAGTATAGAGGAGCCACGCCATTTAATTATTTCATCCCCATTCAAATTAGTGGAGCGCTTAACTGGAAGTAGCCAGCTTGGCCTGTGGAGGTCTCTGGTGCACCTGATCTAGGCCTATTGGCCACACAGTGCTGTTCATCCAGGTTATTTAATATGCACCAGTTTAACTTTTTTTCTACATGTGCCACTGAGCCATTTTCATAGGAATGAATGGGGCCCCTTCTCCAATGCTGTATCCAGTTCTCTTTTATACATCCATGTTTTAATCTGACAAATGCTGCTAATAGGAATTCAACTAATTAGACTTGCACCGATTACAATTTTTTGGGCTGATACTGATTTCCGATTTGCAGAAAATTCGGATGGCCGATTCCGATTTCATTTTTTTCAAACAACTTTACAGCACACAAGATATTGCAATAGTTTCTATCTTTGCTTTATTAGAACATTTTAACCAAGATACAACCAGCTTTTCAATAATCATCTCAAACAAACAAACAAACAAAAACAGTGACACAGGTTAAGAAACGTTTTCCTTTTTGCTCAAATATAACTTCAGGTACAGTATTAAAATAAAAGTAAAAAAAAGGCATACATAGATAAATAAAATAATAATTCTTGGTGTATAGCATTTGTGGGTAATTTCTTTAAAAGACAAAAAAGTAAAAATATCTCCTGTGGAAAATTCACACAGGCCTTCAGGACACGCCCGCCAGTAAGCGCACAGACACGCGCATCTTCAGCATGCAGACATGCGCCTCATCAGTTTCAAGCAGCACAGTGCAGCAATGAGAGCTCCGCAGTTCAGTTTAACATGGACAATTAACAACTTTCTCCTTCTCTCTTCTGATGTGTGGGCGTGAATGATTAAGCTGAGGAGCCGCCAATGTTTCACTTCCTCACATCGTCCAAGCCGTGAGTTGCACATGTGCGTGTGTGTGCGCTGCAGATGTTACACGATGTCAATCATGCATGAAATTTGACTGGCGTTTTAAATTGGCATATTTTTTTTGTCACGGTCGATCACGTGAAAACCGGCCTCATTCCGAGCACTGCCGATTAATCGGTGTAAGTCTACAACTAATATGAACTATCACTTAGTCACAGTCACAAGGATTTTATGTAACGTGTTCTGTCTCTGTTTCAGATCGACCTATAATCACATCCATTCTAATAGGTGTGATCATCGTGCTGGTAATCCTATGTTCAGTAGCGGTGCTTATTTACATATATTATAAGAAGAGAAATACCACGGGTGAGTAACTATTACTAGTTTTCTATTTTTTGTAAGCACACAAAAAGCATCATATAGCACTTCTTTTTTATTTTTAGGACCAATCTACGAGGATATGCCGCTGAGGTCACGAGACAAAGGTGATGACCAATATGAGGGGCTGCAGAGGGGTGCCCAAAGGGAGGGCGAGTACGACACCCTTAACCCAGAAGCACCGGGTAGAGAGAAGAAAGAGGGCCAATATGAAGCACTGAAGAAAGAGGGGATGACAAGTAGGGAGTACGACACTGTGAGGATGGAGGGGGCAGTTGGAGGAGAGCCAGGGTATGAGGCACTGAAGAGAGAGGGAATAAAAGAGGGGGTATACCACACCCTGGGGATGGAGGGGGCAGAAGGAGGAGGGAAGGAGGGAGGGTATGAAGCACTGAAGAGAGAGGGGATGAAAGAGGGGGTATACCACACCCTGGGGATCGAGGGGGCAGAAGGAGGAGGGAGGGTATGAAGCACTGAAGAGAGAGGGGATGAAAGAGGGGGTATACCACACCCTGGGGATGGAGGGGGCAGCAGGAAGTGAGTCATTTCTTTTTAATTCTGTTCATTATGTTAATTGTGGCAAATTCTGTTAAGTGTAAATAGCCATCACAAGGTACCAGAACAGAAAATTATTAATTTTGTGAAACCAACAGTCAAAAATACCACATGTGTATTCCTCAGCGCTGATCCTGTCAACTATTTTTTCCAACCCCTATAGTCATCATACATAGGCTATACTACTACTAACAGCATTATACACTTTTTCCATGATAATGACTCTGCTTTTTTAAAAGGCTTTTTCTAATGTGTTAAGTAAATTAAGTGCTTCATCAAACTATATGCAAAAAGAGGATGAGGAATAGTCTCATGATTTACAACTATACAGGTTCTGCTTTTGCATTCATAAGTAACAGCACTTTATATTCCAGTGTGATGATCAGATATCTTACCTTGCCGTGCAAATGCAGAGCAGCATTTCCTGTTGTATTTCATGTGCTGAAATAAATCTATTTTGATTACATTTGGTTGTGGTTTGTACTATCACATAGTCACAGCATTTATATTTTGATGAGCCTCTGGGTGCCTTTCTAACTTCAACCATCTAATGCCAATGAAGTTGTGAGGAACAGACTTTATTACACACACAGCCCAGATGCAATTTCTCAAATGTTTATGAGGCGGAGGTGAAGATAACTTTCAAACAAGCAGACAAAACTGGTCCTTGGACAATATCTAGAAAGGTACTGGTCAGTTCAGAAACAAGAGCATGGACTTAACTTCTGGGGAATAAAAAATAAAAATCTACCCATCACTTTCTTAGCATACAGTAAATAGGACTGTATGCTTAACATTATATTGCTGGTTGCTTTTACTGAAACATTTTAGAAAATATAACCTAATGCTTTCTGCACTATAACAGGTTCTGGTACATAGTGGTTTCCAGTTTTGAAAGCTTAGTTTACATGGCTGGCAACTTCCTATATCAGTAACTTACTAGAAAATATTTATCTTGGAAATTAAGTTTGGAAAAGGCAGTGGTGTTTTATTCAAGGACAACTCACCTTTGAATGCAGCATGTATAGTGTCACTTCTGTCTCAGACTGAGCTTGTCTGAAAAGTGTTAGGAGTTTGTGGCTTTGTTTGTTAGCTAACTTTTAGCCACGGCTGTTATCTGTCAGTCCTCATTACACTGTGTCCACAAGAGTTTATCTGAGGGCTCGACATGCTTTAAGCCACAGAGAGAGAAGATAACGTTATCTGCCTAAATAATCAACTGTATGGAGGAATTAACCTCAGAAATGTTGCTGGGGGCAACTCATCTTCAGACAGCCAAGTAATTAACTGAACATCGTCACGCGAGAGAGGAAGTACTGGGGCCTCATGTACAAAGACTTGCGTGGATTTCCTACTGAAACATGGCATACGCTTAAATCCAGAAAACGTCGTATGCATAAAAATATCCAGATGTATGAATCTGTGCATACACATGAATCCAAGCACATTTCCTTTGTACATCCCAATCAACGTGGAATTGAGCGCACATGTTGGAGTACCCGGCCCCTCCCTGTCCACGCCCCTATTTAAATATGTAAATCATATTTAAATAAATCCTGCACCTAAAATTCCCCTCTCTGCACGATCAGAAAACTAAAACAAAAGAATGAGTAAGGCGGGAAAAAAGAGAAACTTCACAGAATGCGAACTGGAGACGCTCACTGAAGTGGAGGCGCACAAAAATGTACTTTTTGGCACGCTGTCCTCTGGCATCAATACAAAACGCAAGGTGAGTGAGTGGGAGAGTGTGTGTGAGCCTGTCAATGCTGTGGGGACAGAAAAGCGTACCCACGCAGAATTAAAAAAGAAGTGGTCCGACATTAAGGTGGACGTGAAGCGGAGGAGGGCTGCCCACCGTCAAAGTGTGGCTAAAACAGGCGGGGGGACAGGAGAGGTGGAGCTCACCCCGTTTAAACAGAGAGTCGCCTGGGGTCAGTTGAAAGCAGACAAATAATTATGTGAACTGGATTTACAGTTTCCATGTGTTAATTTTATACACCACTTACACGGATCACACACTACTGTTGTAAATTAATGCAGAAGTGCACCGGGGAAAAGGTGTGGCTGATTAAGAAATGTCACACTTTACGCACGGGTTTATTGACATGAGTACTTTACACACAGAGACAATCAGGGGCTTAGAAAGCTCTGAAGCTGTAGTTTAACCAGCAAAAAACAGCAAGTCGCTAACTTTAACCACTGACTAGTACTGATGCTGTGAAGACAGGATAATATTTGGGGGCGCACATGCTCAGTGCGCATCAGGGGGATTAATATTAGGACAATTAAACAAATAAATTACTCACCAAGAAGGCACCCATCGCGCACAGTGCCAGCTTGTAGTCTGTTCCCAGCCATGCTGTTACTCAGAATGTATGAATCGTGCGTTGAACCAGGCCACCTCGCCACAATGTTGATTAATTGCATTTGCGCATCACATATGATCTGTACATTGATCGAATGAAAATGCTTCCTGCTGACATAAACAAATTCATCCTGTGATTGTGCTTTTATACTGTAGTCATGTGTGTGCAGTCGATAGCTCCGATAAAGTTAGGAAAACCGGCTGTCGTTGCAAACTGCGCTTTAATGTTGGCCTGTTCAGCTATGGGAATTTGATATACCTGGTTGACATGCGGATAATTCCGTCCCACACAACTGGCATGGCTCGGCTCAGGGTCGACTGACACATTCCCGATCGGTCGGCCAGCTCCCTCTGGAATGCCCCTGGAGCTAAGGAACCCCAGTGTGGTCAGAACCTGTATGGATACAGGCAGCGCATGGCTCCTCGCCGTGTCGCGCTGCCGGCTGCAGCTCTGCGCACAGTTCCAGGAGGATAGGCCTCAGGAACCTAAAGCAGCTGGTGAGCCAGTGCCATCTGTCTCTGAACACACGCTCTCTTCGTATTGCGCCATTTACAAATCTTTTACTACTGCTAAAGCAGCCGTTGTTGTTAACGGTATTTTCGGCACCATTTTGCGCATGCTTTTATATCCACTCATCTAATTGCAGACACGCGGCTGTGTTAATTGTTCATCAGTGTTAATTGTTGATGTTTCTCTGATGTGCACATCACTCTGAGGACTAATTGTTTTCACATTTATTTATTCTAACAGCTTCTCAGCATCACCTCTGTGTCGCCCAAGGATCAACAGCTGTAGAAACGTGCGTACGCCAGCCATGAAGTTGGCGTGAGGTACCGCACATTTCCACGGCCATTTCACTCTTGATACATCTGGACTTTGCCGTGGAAAAGAACGTACGCCACGTTTTTGTGCGTACGCACCCTTTGTACATGAGTGTTCTGAACGGTTCTGAACGTCTGCACGCGCATTCAACATGGCGGCTCCAAAGCCACCTTCAGGTGCTATCGGACCAACGGCGAACTTAGGTAGGAGAGTGTATGAATATTGTAATAAAACAGAAGGAGGTCCTGCCACAATGGAAAGCATACTTTGACAAGCCACACAAAGGTGAGTTTTATGCTTTATTGAAGTATGTTCAAACTTTACATTTTACTTTTACCAGAGAAAACTAAAAAGTATGTTGACTAAGGTAAGCAATGAGTTATGGCTATGAGAGCCTTGAAAGCTTCGGAAATGCTAACATTATACAATATTGGTTGGTTTTCTTTTTAATGTTATTGTTTCAACTGCAAAATTTTACACGCTATTTGAATCAATTTGTATAATGCTACCTTACATATTGTGTGAAACTAGCTAGCAGGCTAACTGACAATATTGTGAACTGTATTGGCCTGAATAACACAACACATGAGAGCAATGGGTTTTAGTGGAACATGGACCAGTAATATTTTATTCTTTAGAAAGCGAGTAAACAGAAGAAACAGGGTTTTTTTTTTTGTTTGTTTATTTTTTTGTTTTTCTTATGGCTACAATCTTTTTAATGTTTTTTTTAAGGTCAGTACCAGTATAACTCAACCTGCTTATAGCAGATATTTAAAAGTCCAGTGTGAAGGATTTTGGGGATATATTGGCAGAAATTGAATATAATACAATAAGTATGTTTTCTCTAGTGTGTAATGACCTGAAAATAAGAAGTGTTGTGTTTTTATAACCTAAGAATTCACCATGTTTCACCGTCATGTTTCTACAGTAGCTCAATACAACAACCCAAACACTGGCTTTAGATGGGGCCATTCGCATTTTGGCATTAGCCACCATAATAAGCAGCCTCTCTGTGATGAGCAGCATTGGGAAAACATTGACATTTTTTCTTAACGTGAATGTAACAAAGGGATGTTACGGGAACAATGAACACTGAGGGAATTCTAAGTGGGGCAAGTTTCAGCTCATTGCAATCTGCAGTCCTCACCACTAAATGCTGCTAAGTCCCTCTAAATCTTACACAGTGTTTGTTTAAAGGTGATACTCAGTATCATTTCTCTCTATTTTTTTGGGTTAAGTAAGAGTGTATTTTAGTATTTTCAATAAGGAGGCAACACCTGCTAAAACAGCACTAAATATAGGGATTCATGGGATTCCAAAACTCCTCTGCTTTCATATGCGCTACACCCTCTAATAGGCTTTGCTTAGTGTAACCCATCGAGACTTGGGCTGAGACTCTACCTTGGCATCCTGAGACAAATTTGCACGTACCAAACATTCAGGAAGTAGAAACCACATGCTATAAAGCACCAGCGCACTCACTGTCTTTTTCACTTGACCACCTTAGAGCATAGATCTACACTCCCAATATCCAGCAGCGCTCAAGTGTTGATGAGTTTTTTCTCCAATCATAACGCCTACCTCTGTTGCCTTGGCTGGGGCCACCAGGTGCCTTGGCAGTGCACTTTGTGTTTACTGTATGGGAAACCTTCAGCGATTGGTTTGCATGGTTGAGGCTATACCCAAACCTCAACAAACAACACAAGCTCCGGATTCCAGTTATAGCCAAGAGTGACTTCACCTTTTGGGGCTCACCCGTTCCCCACCAAGCTCACCTCAGCCAGTCTCAGACTGGGACTATGAAGCAAAGTGTCACGCTCCTCAGGTGGGCACACTCCAACAAGAGCGCACAGTGCTTGGATGTAACTTCTATGGAGGCAAGTGGTTGGTCCCCTAAGTGGGTCCGCTAGATGTCTTTAACCCATTCAGCATTTGGGTCTGGATTGTTTGTGATCAGATTTGGGCCCAGCAGGAAGTATATCACATCTCTAATGCTTTTCCCCTCAGGTGATTCCCAGAAGCAAAGTCTGTTAGTGGGTGTAGCATGTACAAAGTAAAAATAGCATTTACCTACATGTCACTCTATGACTGTGCGTAGCTCTCCAGCTCCAGGCCCAGCTGGCCCCTGTGTTATTCCAGTTGCTGAATTCAAAAGGGAGTTGAACAGCAGGTGCTCTGGTATTTCATGGTGTGTGGTTGCTACCTCCTGATTGGACAGGGGGTACAAAGATCACTCTCACGGTGCTGAGTCAGAGCCTCAATGAGGTAAACCAATAGCAAAGCCTTTTAAAAGAAGTGGAGTTACATCAAGGTAACTCCACGTCTCTCACTGCAGGATAATCCTGTTGATTTTAGAGAGCAGAGCAGGACAGTGAGGGTGAATCTCAGAGCCTCAGTGCTTCTTAATGGCTGAGGAAAACTAGTCAGTTCCCTGTTCTGGTAGTGCTATCAAAATCTATTTTTCATTTCCATGCTCTTATACTTTAGCTCAATGATCGATATCCTGTCTGGACAGGAGGACAGCATTATGAGTAACATGAAACCACTGTATCCAAAGGTTTAAAGATCTGCATTAGTGGTGCCTGAATCATGCATGAAGCCTTGGAAAATTGGCTCTATCAAGGTAAATCAGGTGCTGTAATTAAAAAAAAAAAAGCCGATTCAATGTGACACCTGTAATCATCTGCTTTTTATCCAGACAGTTTATGCACCACCTAATACCAAACATTAAAGCATAAAAATGAGAGTAATGCATTAGCATAAACTGCCAAGTATATCTATAATTATTGTAAAGGAATTATCACCTCTAGGTTTTATTATACAATAAATTCCACATGTACATGATTTTTACAGATACAGTTGTAGTTTACAATACAGAACAAAACATTTAACAAGAAATGAATGAAAAATGACAAAAATAGTAAAAACCCTAAAATTTAATAATTAGTCTATTGGAGAACTCCATGATCTAAAATTGATATTTTTCTATCTTAAACCTTCATTTTGGAGCTTGCTAGATACATTAAAATATCTACTAACAAATGTAAAACAAATTGCTCATGTACAGTGAAGTGTCATTGTTTTGTTGTCCATTATCAGCCTTTTAACTGGTCTTTTATTTACTGATTATAGCATAAGCTTGCAGCACTAATAAATAAAGCAAGTTCACCTGTTACTGAGATTGACTCAGATCTACATGGTGGCTCCATGGGACTAACATTCTCATTTTATTTGCACAGTTTTTAATTTTGTCATATGTTACATAACTGGCACCACACTACAGTCTTGGCTGTGTGTTTTTTGTGCCTTGACATTGCGACAAACAGCAGAGACTGGCATGTGTGGGGGGTCTTAGGTTGTATACTGACAGCAAAGTGCTTGTCCGGATGAGCATGAAATGCCTGAACACAACACTAACATAACAGAATAACATCAATGAAGCATATATTACAAGAAAAGCATATTTACCAAAATTATGATATTTGATTTTGAAGAAAACACTCTCAAAGTGACCTGACAAAAGTGTCTCTGAACTACCCTGCATATTACATTCCTTCCCGTCCTATATGAGGCATTGTTATTCCCCGGTTTATCGGCAGGCAGACAGGTTCGAGGCCTAGTACATAAAACATTTCTGCACACGGGAATCAAAATGCTGCATCTAAAAATATGAGCATGGGCTATTTAGACTTCACAGAAAGCTGTGTACAGTAATATGTGCAGGTGTTCAATTATTTTCTTTGTGGATGAATAAACCAATACTACAAAGCAAAATATTTTGTTGTATTGGCACAAGTAACAGGCTTTTTCTTTAAAGTGTGCACATTAAGGACAAAACTTAACATTACTTTTAGAGAGGAAAAAAAGCTTTTATAACATTGTGAAAACCTTGTAGGTCCGGTTTTGGTGATTCTCCTTTTTAACTTAAGTGGAAACTTTTTAAAAACCAATTCATCAAACTCAACAGGTTTTCACGCAGCAACAGGGGTGCGCATTTGACCAGTGTGTGCCTAAAGATTTGTAATGATTCAAATATAAGTGAGAGGCATACAAATGAAATACTGTCAGATAATATATAAATTTCTACAATTATTACAGTGAATAAACATCAACAAAAGCCACACCAGGCCTAAAACACTCTTACTTAGATTGTCTGTCAGACAAGGTACACAATTGCACACACAAATACACATTTTACACATTTTACTAATGTCATCACCTCCACTGAGGAGTCTCTTTGAAATCAGTTCAGTAGTGATAATACAGTCAGACTTGCTGAAAGTGGTCCCCTCCCGCATTCGATTTTAAATCCACACTTTCAAAGTTCTTCATGCCATGGGGTGAAACTTCACGCTGTTGATGTAATGTTTCTGCCTCAGTAAAGGCTATGTGCAGAAGATCTGCTGGTTTTATGTTAACTCTCGGTCCCCCTCTCCTCCATACAGGTAATTATTGGTTCCGGCTGGTTGGACATACTCCTCAGTTTTGTCCCAATCTGAGACCCAGCCTCCTCCTCCCATGCCTCCAGCTCCATTGGGATCCGTTCCCTGGTTCATGGCTCCGTAGCCTGCCCCGCCACTTGTGCGATACAGCTCCTCCGTCTCGTTTGCAAGCTCATCCTCATCCAGGATGCCACATTTTTCATCACTCAGCTGCTCCGGCTCTGCCCAAGCTTGCTTTTCTCCAGATGCAAAGATGCCTGCAGCCCAGAAACAAGATAATCCCTAAGATACAGAGTTTTTGTGCAGTATTCAGACTTATGACAACCAATCTACAGAAGACTGCATGAAAACAATGTACAGATTTTTGCAGATTTGAACACCCTAATGCTCTAGAAGAATTAGGGGAAATTAAGAAGGAAATATACACACCATAAAATATAACACCTCCATAATGAACAAGCGAGGCGATAAGAAACACCCCTTGCCACTCTTCCCGTGTCTATGAAAGGGGGGATTAAGGAAAGAAAGGGGAAGAGAGATTATAAGCATAAAAAAATATATTTTTATAGTAGTTAAACACATCAAACCAGTTAAAGGGAGGCTTGCACATGTATTGTGTTCCATGAACATGCTTAAAGGGATAGTGCACCCCAAAATGAAAATTCAGCCATTATCTACTCACCCATATGCCGACGGAGGACCTGGTGAAGTTTTAGAGTCCTCACATCCCTTGCGGAGATCGGCGGGTGGAGCGGCTAGCACACCTAATGGTAGACGGCGCCCCAGACTAACGTCCAAGAACACAAAATTGAATCCACAGAGTACCTCCATACTGCTCATCCATAGTGATCCAAGTGTGCTGCAGCTGCGACATAAAAAGTTGTTTCAAAAAACGTCATATGAACTCTGTTTTTAGCCTCACTGTAGCCTGTAGCTCTGACTACTTCTGTGCTCCACGCTCACGTGTGCGCGCCTGCGTGAGACCAGCGAAAGCATGAGCTTTGCTCACCCGTGTTTACATCACGTGACACGTGCACCGCAGGGAGAGACAACGATAACCACAGAGCTAAAAGATAATTTGCACTACGGTCTTTTAGCAAAGGACAACCCAACATGTCTGAAGACTTTGAAACTGAGGAGAAACAGCATTTCTTTGTTGAGCCCTATTTGTTTGAGCCCGAGTATACGCACGGAACTCAGGCTACTGGAGGAAGCAGCCGCCGCAGCTCATGAGCCTCAGCCAGCCGCAGAATACCGGAGCCGAGCACTGGAAACCTGGTGGTGTAGTTGTTTCAAATGCAAAGCAATGCCATTGGATGAGGAAAGTCTTTGCTGCTCAGACTGGGAATTGGCGATGCCTTCACTTGAGAATCTGGACATCAGTACTGACGAGACTGCTGCTCTTCAGAGATCACTCTGAGCGCGCACACGTGAATGCGGAGCACAGAGAAGCAGTCAGAGAAGCAGTGAGGCTAAAAACAGAGTTCATATGACGTTTTTCGAAACAACTTTTTATGTCGCAGCTGCAGCACACTTGGATCACTATGGATGAGCAGTATGGAGGTACTCTGTGGATTCAATTTTGTGTTCTTGGATGTTAGTCTGGGGCGCCATCAGCCATTAGGTATGCTAGCCGCTCCACCTGCCGATCTCTGCAAGGGATGTGAGGACTCTAAAACTTCACCAGGGCCTCCGTTGGCATATGGGTGAGTAGATAATGGCTGAATTTTAATTTTTGGGTGCACTATCCCTTTAAACTCTAGAAACCTTTTACATCAGTCCATTAAACTTAATGCTTAAACTAGTGCTGCACAATTAATCGAATATAATTATGATTGCAATATGACCAAGAGCAATATCTATATTCCAGACTTTAGGGAACATGCTTGTTTGATACAAACACCAGGAAAAAATCATATCATCATTTTTAAATCTTTATAGTAAAACTGACAGGCAAAGCTACCATTGTCCCTCTCAATGTAAGTGATAAATTTCTCCCTGTATGACTATTGGACGTGCAGACTGGTAAAATTGACACCTCTGCTGCTGTTTTGGAAACACTGTCTATGACCTAAATCAACTGGAAGTTCACTTGAGGACATGCAACATGAAATTATCCATGGTAAAAACAAAAACACAGAATAAGAACAGAAATGTGTTTGAGCGTGTATTTTACAATACAAGTTCTCACCTTATGCTTCGTCATGGCACCAACTATAAGTGGGCAAACCATACCAGACAAAGTGCCCACACCATTGGAGATACCCATGAGGATACTAGCATAGCGCGGTGCAATGTCCAGGTGGTTGACATTGAAACCTTATGAGTTAGGATAAATACAATTAATGCATGTAAGTGGTAGTAAATACTCATATTTGTCAGCTTTACCTATTTAATTTAATATATATATTTAATATATGAGGGCAAAGGTTTTAAAGTTATGGATATTGATGTCAGTGTTGATGCAACAAAATGTGTACTGAACAGTTGTTTTTTTTAAAAAAAAAAAAATTCACCTGAAATGGCAAAGCCAGAGAACCCCACAGCCAGGACCAGGAATGTAATGGCAACACCTTTTGTATGCGAGAATCCCACCACTAGCAGCAGGGTTGCCTCCATCCCAAACCCTGATGTAGACAAGTGAAACAATAGAAACAAAGAATGTGTTTAGTGTGTACAAGATCCTTATTTAGGTCTCGAGGCCATTTTTCATCACGTCTTTCTGCTCTTCCTTTTCATAAAATGCCGTTGACTGAGCTGCAACGTCAGGTTTCACTAGTCACAAGCGCTTCCCACAAAGTGATATGTACCCTGTATGCTTCTCCATTTCACTTTGCTATCAATTTCTCTCTGTAGTTCAAAAATAGCAGACAGAGGCAGAGCTTCTGCATTAGAGTGAGTCATCATTTCCCTTATGAAACAAATGTTTTCTCACCACAGCTGACTAAATACTGTAGTCAACACAGTAATCAGCCAATGAGTTATTGTGCAGTTTTTCAGGTTCATGTGACAGAGCCTGACATCTGACTTAAAATATAACACTTAGAAAGACTTCTAATTTATCTAGAGAAGGCTGCAAATGTGTGTATTAATATGACTACAGTTTTGATGTCTTGACCCACTATTATGGGCACAGCAACTCACATACTACATCTATGCCTTCCCTTTGTTTTAGCTCTTTCTTACCTCCACAGTTCATAAGTTTCCTGACATTAGTAGTGGTCATGATTTGATTGGAGCGCAGATAGTCAGCAATCTGGCCGCCTATGGGCACGATGATGGTCATGACGAGGTGGGGAAGTGCAGAAACTATGCCCACCTAGATGAGAGAGAAAAGTTATATTTTTATGTAACAGGTTTGACGCCATTAGGGATAGACTGGAATAAACCTGGAAAGCAGATGCTCTAAAGCTTTGACTTTCTTTAGCAATATCATGTTATCGTACTTGCATGGAAACTTTTGTCTGGTGTAGTACACCACACATAACCACATGTAGTTTCTGTTACCTTGCTAATCTCGAAACCAAACACCTCCTCGAAGTATGCAGGCTGGCTGATGAGAAGCAAATAGAAAGTCCAGCTTCTGCAGAAATTAGCCACGATGATGGCGTACACTGGCATGGACGTGAAGAAGGACCTCCACGGTGTGTTGAATTTCTGTAACACAGAAAAATGTTTTACTTATCTCACTAATTTTGTAGTGAAATTCTGAACCTGGGGGTGGGGGTAGTTTTACTTGAATGTATGAGTGCAGACACAAATGAGCAGAGGTTACCACTAACATTTTTCTACTCTGCTATTATTAGCATCAGCTCATGATGACGTCTGACACCAAGCAGCGATAAAGTGTGGCTCCAGCTCGCCACATCTTTCATGTTCATGTGTTTCAGGCGGGAAGATAATTCTTTGTAACATAGGAAAACATAGTCTCAGAAGTCAGAGGACTGCAGGAGTGACTGCAGGTATTCTCTGGCCCCAATATAACACTAAAAGTTAAATTATTTGACTACACTTTGCCGCACAATCAAAAGGCCGTAGCTCAGGGTGACCACAGCAGCTTTTCATAGATCTTGCACTGCAGCTCACCACAGGCCTCACTGCACCGTGGGTTTTTTTTCCGACAAAGCTTAGTTCCTTCTTACCACATTGCTTGTTTACTATCTCTCCTGTCTTTGTTCAAATCTACTTGTCCTTGTCTTAACATTTTACAAAAGCAAAAAGAGTAATATTGCAAATTCTTCAGATTAACATCAGCCAGTGTGATGTCATACAGAAATTTACAGCATGCACTGACCGTTACTGTATGTTGGGCCGACTCGCCAATGCTTTCCTCAATATATTTCTGCTCCTCCTCAGTGATGGTGGGATGAGCTGCTGGACTTTCATAGGACACCAGGATCCAGAAGCAATACCACATGATCCCAAAACTTCCTGGGAGGGAGGAAGGCAGGCAGGCAGGGAAAAGAGAAGGAGTAATGTAAGTGTCAAAACTGGAAAGAGAGGTCAGAGAGAACAAGCTGCAAAGTAGACACCTTGACTGTAGCTGCTGCCTCGGTACGAAACAGGATTAAATGTTGAATTTGTACTTAACGGTTGATGTTTTTTCTTTTTTTTTTCTGGCTCTCATATGGAGCTGGCCTTTCTTGTTTTCTCAGCCTTGCAGTTTCAGTATGTGTCAGCATTTAGTGTGTTACTGTATGTTGTGCACAGTGATCAGAGTGTCTACACAACTATTGAAATTCCATCTTTTGATATACACTGAACAAAAACTTAAACGCAACACTTTTGTTTTTGCTCCTGTTTTTCACAGTTTTAAATTAAATTATTAATTAATTACTAATTAATTAATAATTATTATTATTTTATACACTCAGTAGATATATATCTGTCAAATTTTGGTTGTACATGTGTTCAAATTTGTGTTGGAGAGCACTTCTCCTTTTCCAAGATAATCCATCCACCTGACAGGTGTGGCATATCAACATGCTGATTTAACAGCATCATTACTACACAGGTGTGCCTTGGGATGGTCACAATAAAAGGCCACTCTAAAATTCAAAGTGTGATCACAACACAGTGCCACAGATGTCAGAAGTTTTGAGGGAGTGTGCCATTGGCATGCTGACTGCAGGAATGTCCACCAGAGCTGTGGCCCATTAACCGAATGTTCATTTCACTACCATCAGTTGTCTCTAGTGTCCTTTCCTTGAATTTGGCAGAACATCCGCCCCGCCTCACAACCACAGACCACATGTGACCACACCAGCTCTTTACTTGCAAGATCATCTGAGATACAGCCACTTGAACAGCTGATGCAGCAATTGATTTGCACAAAGTTTCAGAGACAGTCTCACGGAAGCTTATCTGCATCCTCGACATCCTCACCAGGGTCCTCCTGACCTTATACAGTTTGTCATTGTAACCAACTTGAGTGGGCAAATACTCACTGTCGATGGTGTCCGGCATATTTGTTAGCATTGTGCAGGCGAGCAGTTTGCTAATGTTGTGAACAGAGTGCCCCATTGTAAAGGTGGGGCTATGGGGCTTAAGCTACAGACAGCAAACACAGGTGCATTTTATTGATGGCAGTTTGAATGCACAGAGATACTGTGATGAGATCCTGAGGCCCATTGTCATGTCATTCATCTGCTGCCATGATCTTATGTTATAGCATGATAGTGCACGGCCCCATGATGTAAGGGCACAACTTGTGGAAGCTGAAAACATCCCATTTCTTACATGACCTGCTTACACATGTGACACATCACCCATTTAGCGTGTTTTGGAAAGCTCTGGATTGTGTGTACGACAGCGTGTTCCAGTTCTTTCCAATATCCAGCAACTTCACACAGCCATTGAAGAAGAGTGGGCCAACATCCCACAGGCCACAATCAATGACCTGATCACCTCTGTGTCGCACTACATGAGAGTCTTTTTTTTTTTTTTTTTTTAATAAAACAGCACACTTGAGAGTGGCCTTTTATCGATACCATCCCAAGATAACCATGCTTTTTAATTAGCATGTTGATATGCCACACCTTGGATGGATGGATTATCTTGGAAAAGGAGAAGTGCTTGCTAACCCAGGTTTAACACATTTATATATATATATATATATATATATATATATATATATGACCGTTAGCCAGGAGAAAAGCAGCTCCGGAGAGAGCAGCAACAGAAAGTTTGCAGATCAAAAGCAGGTATTGCTTGATTGGAGAAGTTTCAATACCACCTGGTACTGGCTTTTTCAGTTGATAGCTTAAAGGTAAGGAGTACTGATAGCCAGTCCTTATGACGACACTGTGTAGCTTCCCAAGTTATAGTCCAGTATGAAGAAAGAAGCCCCAGTGTATAGTCTCTCTCTCTTTGATTTTGTTTACCTCCAGCCTAAAGTTCAAGTTCTCTTACCGTAGACGTAGAAAACTGATGACCATCCTGAGTACTGGACTAGGATTCCAGCTAATGGCATGGCAATCACAGCACCAGCATAAGAACCTTAAAAAGAAGAGAAAGATTTTGTTCAGGGCTGCAATTTAAATTGATTTAAATCAATCTGCCTCTTATTTTGTCACTTAATTGTTTAGTCTAAAAAAATGGTAAAAAGTTGCAGCCCAAAACCCAAAGATATTTTATTTACAGTTATGTATGACAAAGAAAAAGCAGAGGCTGGAACCTAGAAAAGTGTGTTATTTTTATTTGGAAAACAGTTGCAGAATACTGTTCTTTAAACAAGCAAATTGATTAATTGACTAATTGCTTGGGTACATCACAGAGATGTCTCTTTAAACATCCATTGTTTAAACACAGAGTAAAACAACTGCAGTGATAATGGACTCACCACAAAAGGCTGTCGTGGCCAAGCGACTTCTTTCAAGAGGTGGCGCCCATTTTGCCCAAATACCATGACAGGCTGGATATGAAACCCCCTGCAGGATAGGGTAGAAATTACATTAAGTTAAATGTTTGAAATAAAATGTAAAGAGAATATCATCTTGCCATCCATTTCTTGTATTTAAGAGCAACCTAAGAGTCAAGCACCTCCACAAGTCCTTGAAATATCCTGACAATGATTACACAGCCAAAGTGTATCCGTGCTGCTGAGGGGATGAGCATATTCAGGCAAGACGTGGCCACTATAGCAAAGCCAAACACTCTGGAGGGGGAAAGGATAAAGACAGGAAGACACATTCAGCATGTATAAAATGATGTGCAGTTACCCCTTGCGTATTATAATTTGTGGATTACCAGACCTGTTTGCTGCAAACTTCTGACAGATAAACCCTCCTGGGATTTGGGTTACAATGTATCCCCAGAAGAAGGACCCGTGGATCATTCCCACTGTTTCTGGATCCCAGTCAAACTGAGCTTTCTGATGGGACACAGGGAGACAAACAGTTATAAGTCTGCACATATACTCGAATCAGAGTTTGATTGCTGAAGCAAAATATATCAAGGTGTGATATTTAATCTACCAGAGTGGAACAGCGAAAGGAAGAACAATCATAACAAGGGAGCTGATGGGATTGATTACTGGTCCCCCTAGGGCATATGCTTGACCACTGACTTATCAATATTCCTTCACATCACTTAGCTGTGTCAGACCTTTAACCAGAGGTGACTCACCCCACTGACTTTAACATTAACTTACAGACTTTAAAGGGACATTGTGTAACATTTTCAGTTGTTTATTGGCAAAAATTGATGTCTGCATTCATAAATATGTCATCACTGGTGTACTATTACCTCCACCAATAATCTGACTTATTCTCGTAAAAGGAGAATTTTGGATTTGTTTGTACATTGTGTGGGTAAGTCGTCTGTGGGCTTCCATTACGTTTCGCCATCTTGAGAATACACCCGCCAGCAAGGGACATACAGCACCGCCTTCGGCGTTTTCGTTGAGAGCCAGGCCAGCACTGCGTGACTGAGGAGCCGAAGGAGAGGAGCAAGAGGCGCTTCGCTACTACCCTGGCAAATTTGAAACAAAGTCTCATTCTTTGAGCATAATGCAGGATCATGCATATATAGCATCATGGGAGACGGAATCCTTGTCGCCAAGAAAGCGCAAAAGGGAATAGAAAAGGCAGCGTGACCGGCGAATTAAAAAAACGAAGGCCCACATCGGGGTAGCCTTTCCCAGGTAGAGAGAGCTACTGAGGGAGAATGGTAATGCAATCACAGGCCAGCGCCGCTGTTGGCTGTTAGCCGCTGTTAGTGGCCAGTCGCTAACAGCCTCATCCCTCTCCTCGCATCACTGCGCCGCTGTTAGCTGTTAGCCGCTGTTAGCCGCTGTTAGCCGCTGTTAGCGCTGGCCTGTGATTGTATTACCTTTCTCCTTCAGCAGCTCTCTCCACCTGGGAAAGGCTACCCCAATGCTGACCCTTGTTTTTTTAATTCGCCAGTCACGCTGCCTTTTTGATTCCCTTTTGCACTTTCTTGGCGACGAGGATTCCGTCTCCCGTGATGCTGCATTATACATGATCCTGCATTATGCTCAAAGAGTGGGACTTTGTTATGTGGCAGTAGTGCCGCTGGCCACTAACAGCTGTTAGCGGCGCAGTAATGTGAGGAGAGGGATGAGGTGTGTGAGGTTGAGCCACTTGTCAGTTGTCAAAGGACAAGACGTGATTGGTTTGTTTCAATTTACATCCGCCCCATCAGTCTTACGTTGTAAACACAGCCAGCATGGTGAGGAGGGGGTTTGTCAACTCACGTCACGTGTGTCTGTGTAGGGGCCTGAATGAATGCTCCATGTAGTATCAGATGACATGGTTTCATCAGTGTTATCATAGCTTTTTGGTACACAGCGGCTACAGTTGTTGCAATACGTGTTTGAAACAATGAGGCGCTAGAGTGCGCCATCTGTTTGAGGGAGAAATTCCTACACACTGTGGCTTTAACAGAATACCTCACCCACAAAATGACCATTTATATATAAAGAACTTCCCGCGTTACTTTGAATGCATGAAGAAAACTTTGTTTTTTCCCAGAGCCTCCATGATAAATGGAGATTAAAAAAGGTGAACATTCTTCAGAAATTAAAGTAAACTAGGACCGTGTTAAACAACAGCAACACTATATCAAAACATCCATTTACAAACTGTAATGCAACTCATGCAGTATAACCCAAGTCTCATTTATCTAGCAGTATGCTCAGTACTTACCAAACACATGCATTTTCACTAAAACCTTGCTTTTTAAAACACTTCCGCATAAAAAGTCTCATGCACAGATGAAGAGCTCATCTGGGCATGTGTGTGCATTTGAACTCCACTCAGGGCAATGTGTTTTAAATAGTAAGGTTTCAGCAAAAATGTTTGGGAAGCATTGAGTGTGACTGGATGAATGAAAATTGGATGAGTTGTGTGAGAGTTTGTAAACAGATGTTTTGATATAGTTTTGCTGTTGTTAAATGCATCCTTTATTTCAAATCACCAAGACTGTTCACTATTTTTGGATTCTTCGTTCACAAGAAAAAAGAGAGTTTTCATCACAAATTCAACGTAACACAGGGTGAGTTATTGATAAACACATCATCATTTTGTGGGTTAGGTATTTCTTTAAGATGACCCACTCATTTGTTTGATGTGGCCATTTCCATTTCTACTAGAGTTGTACCGATACCGATACCAGTATCGGAAATGCCTCAGATACTGCCTAAAATGCGGTATCGGGTATCGGCAAGTACAGCCTATGACCAATCCGATATCATGTAATGCCTCACGTCATTACGCATACGCACACTACAGGCAAACGAAACGGAGCAGAGTTTAAAAATCATTCTACTGCAGCCTTTAAAATGTCTTTTTTACCAAATTGTGTGGCTGCACTTTAACCTGTGTCTTGATCTGTGTCAACACTGGATAATACTAATAAAAAAAAAGTATTATGTATTTATTTCTTAATATTTTACATAGAGTTTTAGGAGTTGAGACATACAACAATTCATATCCCATCCATTGTTATTTTACGCACTGGTATCGGATTGGTACTCGGTATCGGCAGATACCTAAGGTTCAGGGATCGGAATCGGTATCGGGAAGGAAAAAGTGGTATCGGTACATCTCGAATTTCTACCACCAACAAAGATTTGTTTTGACACGGCAAACTTGGAAAAACATTTCTTATTGGATCTCACTTAAAACGGGAACGGACCCTTTCCAGGCAAAGTTGGAAGCGCAACATGTCAGTAATTGCATCATATACAGTAGAATTAATGTGTTATCTAGAAACACAATATTTATTATTGCCTTGCTGTTGTAGACTTCCCACCTCATCTGTCGCCACTCACCACTATGACCTCCTTGTTGTCTCTGAAGATGGTGTGGCTGTTGACCATGCTGACAATGGCCACGCCCAAGTTACATCGGATACCAAAGGAGATGCAGAAGCCGATGCCAGAGAGGATGGCGATGATGTAGCGCCTGGGCAGACCGAAGCACGTGCAGTCCACCACGGGCATCTCCTTCTCCTCCACCAGCTCCGGCCGGCCCTCTGCCGACAGCTCAATGGTTTCACCATTTTCCTGCTTTTTCTCAAGAGCTCTGTGAAGAAACGATTGAAAAATGCCCAAAAGGTGAATGGAAAATATAATATAGATTTAGTCATTTGGTTGGTCCTGTAATAGAAATGTACGTCCACTAAATGGTTAAAAAAAAAAGAAAGTGTTATTGAATTTGTTTCCTTAAAAATGCTTTTTTTTTAATAGTTAAACTTTGAAGCCAAAATATTTGTATATCTCCTCTGTCAGCTTCATCTCCACTTCTTCCCACTGTACAAAAAGGGAGCAAAAGTATCCTAGATGCAGGCGTTGCCATCTTGCGCTGGTTACATCATTTGGAGCCAGTCTGCACAGTAGCAATTGAGAAGTGGAGCTGTCCAACCCAATTACAAGCAACACCACTGATTGTGAGCACACCACACAGAGCTGTCAATCATGAAGTCACACCCCTTTTTTAAGGTTATAATCACACAGGTGAATGCATGGGAGCGACCAGCAACTGCCAAGGCAATATTTGTGCTGAATGTGGGCAGTGCTGGATGCGAAGCACACAGAAAGCTAGCTTGCTAGCTAATGTTAGCTAGCTTACTAATTAATTCAGTGAAATATGATGCTATTTTTTTACATTTTCTATTTTCTTGTGTTCCATGCCTGACTCACTGCCAGGCAGGCAGCATGTCTCACATTGGGCAGTTTGCATTATATATGGGAAAATATCACACAATATCAGCTGGTTAAACAATATTGGCAACAATCAGTGTCTCCTTCATCAATAATCCTTTGCTATTAGTTGAGGCAACAACTTCCCTGGCAAAAGTTCACCAAAGTTGAACTCCATGCAATGCGAAGATGCGAATTTGTTCTGCCACAGGAAGTGAATGTTGTATTCCCTCCTTCACTCACACTGAATAGAAGTGAATGGGAGGCAAATATTTGCCCATGTTAAATTCACTCATCTCACTATATAATTAAAACTAAACTTAGAATAAAAATGAGCACTTGAACATGATCAGCATAATAAGAACTACCTAAAATGTCAGACACCATCTTTGAAAAAATGTATTTGACGTGTACTTTCTGCTAACATAGAGGGGGTGGGGTTTATGACCTATACTGCTGCCAGCCACCAGGGGACAATCAAGATGTTTTGGCTTCACTTTTGGGGAAGCTGTCATGTCTTCGTCTTTATATACACTCTTTGGTTGAAACATCCCTTTACAACGTTGTGTAACATCCCTTTCCCTATCAAAATAGCTTGCCACAGAAACAACCTTGATATTACACATTAAAACACACCAGACTACAGCTATTTAAAAATGTTTCAAGTGCCAGGAAATAACACATCAATTATAACAGTTAATGACCACTCAAAAAGAAAATTCTTTACATTTAGTTTACTCTTGCATGTCCTAACAATCAGTCAGTCAGAGGTTTCCTATACTCAGGTTGCTGCTGTAAAAACTGATGCTGTTCTGAGGGGCTTGTAGACTGACAGCTTGGCTTGATAAAGATGTTCAGACAATCTTTCTTGCTGTCAATTCGGCTGTTAATTCTGGCATTTTAACAGGAGACAGTCAGCAGTTATCTGTCAGCCTACAACAACTGGAGCTTGCTGACATAACTTTGACTTATCCTGTCTTCTCAAGGTGTTAATATATTGGCTGTTTTTCTGTTGCAGGGACTCATCTCCTGACAGAACTGGCAGACACTAAGGAATACAGTGTGTCAAAAAACATGTCTCAGCCTGGTGCATCCCTGCTTCTTTTCTCCTTCCAAACAAGGTTAACTGCTCTGCTCTTGTTCTGCACCTGTCTATAACCTATATTCTTATGGCTTGCTGAGAAACCCTGAGAATATGTGACCTCTGCCAGCCTCCAGTCTAACAGGCATCAAATATGTATCTAAACTCAGCAGATCATCTATTAAACATGTGCAATGCTGAGTTCTCAGATCAGACCCAAGCACTGCAGGTCCAGTTGAAGGAGCACAGAGCCCCTGTTATATCACAGTGTTATTTATTATACATATTTAGGTTTTCATACCTACATAGAAAAGTTAAAAGCAAATATTGCCTTTGTCTGGTAAATGTTATTTTACAATCATTGTCGAGAAATGTGTACGGAGCACGAGAGTACATATCTTCATATCTTTGAGCTAAAATAAAACAAACAACAGTGCAGAGCATGAATGACGCTAAGTTTGGGGGATGGAGGTGTGTTTTATAGACTGTGTTACTTGACAGCTGGTTGTACAGGACAGAAGAAGATAAAATGGGACAGGGATCCTGGGCGAGAAGTGAGCCACATTTAAGTGCATTATGATTCATAGTTGACTGAGCCACTTGGGTGCACTGTTAATAACAATGTTCCCACAGTGGCCACTGTGAACATTCATCATGGTTGAGTTGAAATTCTGTACTGTAGCATTGACTGAATACTATATGTGAGATTTACATCATATGGAAACTGACAGATATGTATTACTTCCTCAGAAACAACACACTGAAGTTTAACAACATGATCTGAGTGTTTTATGGTAAATCCAGCTGCCAAGGACAGTGTATTACTGCGCTGTTTGACAATTTTGATGCAAAATAGCCAAAGGCACAACTGTCTACAACCATCTAAGAATAATGTGTGTGCAAAGCTGTATGAAAGCTGCGTCAATCAAACAAGAGTACCAGAATTTTCTTTTTTAAATAATTGTTATTATAGAGAAGAGAGAGTCACTCAATCACCTTGCATCGGTCCTCCCACGTACTTTCACCGCACAAATGAAATGGTTTATTTTTATTTTCATTTTATTCATTCATTTAGGTCGGGAAAAAATACCGAGGTCATGACCTCGGTGTCCTCAATGGTAGTTACGGCCTTGCCAGCACTGTTGCCACAGTTAGTGCTGTTAGCACCGTTATTGCAACACTGCTTGCTGGCACCATATCAATTCCAGCCAAGACTCAAAGTGTTGAGTATATCACCTTTAAAGCCAATGAGAGCCGTTTCTAGATATTGTGTGTTGACCACTCAGAGCCAGCGATGAGTGATACGGCAGAGCCAAAGGCATAAAAGTAGGGTGTAATAGATAACTCCTTTTTCTGGTTACATTTGCTGGATGAGCAGCTGTTATTGCTTTGAATGAGGCGCCATGTTTGAATACTTCATCTGCTGTTTTATGTATGAGTGTGGTAAATGGTCCCAATGAATCTTTTCTGCATCATAACACTGATCCTAATGACAACCAAACTGAGGCAGTGACCAGTTCATGTTTTATCAGGAGACTGGAGGTGTGAGTGTGTGTGTATGTGTGTGTGTGTAAACCTCCAGGGACCTGTTGAGACTTAACATTCACTGACCAACAGTCATGGGTTGCGGTTTAATAGTCTTTTTTGCTTAGGAAGGTGCCTAACTGAGTATCTAAGTGGCAGCCGGTAATCAGAGCTGTTCATATTCTCTAAATCAATGATACTCAACTTATGGCCCAAAAGTCAAAGTGCCGGATGGCCCGCCAACAATTTTCAAATTAATGATGAAAGTTAATGATCCGCACTGGGATTTTCTTTTTTTTTTTAATGTAAATAAGGTACCAGAGTCGTTAAAAAATCATCAAAATAGAGCTTGTTAAAAAAAAGAAGTGCCAGGGGAGGATGCCATGACCCCCTGACAGAGGTACGGGCTAAGCCTTGAATGTCCTCAAATCCTTGAAGCGACCCTGCAAACACCTGACCTGTGCTGGGCTGCTGCAACTGGGTTTGCCTCTTGACAAAGATGAGTAAGGACTGCAGACGTCAAAAGATTGAAAACAGGCAATTAATTTATTATATATAGGTACCATTAATGTTTTTTTATGAAGTGGCCCCTGGCCTCCTGTCATTTTGCAAAAGTGGCCCCCGTGCGAATCAAGTTGGGTATTTCTGGTCTAAATGTTAAGGAAAGGTTCTTCAATGTGTTCCTTCTTGTCTGCTTTAGCACAAGGTACACTGGACCATCATTTGAAAAGGACAGGGGGTAATGCTGTTTTTTAACTCCTTGTGGCAGCAGCATTTAAAGTGATGCACCACGTTTATTTTCATACAATCATACTAATTGGGATGGATGTTGATGAATATGAATATGGGCAGGAGGGTGAGCAACTATTCTCAATGTGACAGCCATTTTGATTCATTTTTGTGACTGGTTGCCTATGTTTCTTCTTTTATCTCAGTTCCAACCTGGGTACTGAAGTAATAATTTTCACCGGGTCATCCATGTTTATATAGCCTGCATGAAAAAACACGGTAAGAATGAACTGGGTGTGCCATGTAAATACAGTATTTTCATAGCATGCATAGAGTGTAGCTTGAAGGTCCAGTGAGTAAGATTTAGGGGGATTTATTAAAAGAAATGTATATAATATTCATAATTATGTTTCCATTGGTTTATAAGCACTGGAAACTAAGAGTTTTGTGTTTTTGTTACCTTAGAATGACCTGTTTATATCTACATTTGGAATAAGTCCTCTTCCATGGAGTCCACCATTTTGTTGTACAGTGGCCCAAAATGGACCAACCAAACACTGGCTCTAGATAGTGCCTTTTCGTGTTGGCTACCTCAGCTCTCCTGCTCACTTGGCACACAGGGGAAGTTTCAATCTGCAACCTCACTGCTAGATGCTACTAAATCCAATACACTAGACCTTAAACTGCTGCGATGTAGCTCACAGTAAACCAGCAAATTCCCTTGCTATCTTATTTTCCTTAATCTATAATTACTTCATTCATTTATTTTTATGCCTCCGCACCAGTGATAACAATGCCCAGAGGCATTATGCTTTCGGGTTGCCTGTCCATCTGTACTTTGGAACGAGTGCACATATGTATGTACGTCCCATTCTTGTGAATATGATATGTAAAGAATGCCTTGAGGGAATTTCTTCAAATATGGCACAAACGTTCACTTGGACTAAATGATGAAGTTAGTAGATTTTGGTGGTTAGTGGTCAAAGGTCTCCTGACATCCATCTCATTCTCATGAATGCAATATCTAAAGAACACCTTGATGTAATTTCTTCAAATTTGGCACAAACATCCACTTGGATTCAATGGTGACCTGATTAGATTTTTGTGGTCATGGATGAAAGGTCAAGATCACTGTGACCTTGCCTGTATCATTCTTGTGAATATGATCTCAAGAAGTGTTATTTGGATTCAACAATGAACTTATTAGATTTTGACAGTCAAAGGTCAAGGTCGATGTGATCTTGCCTGTCTCATTCTTATGAACATGATCTCACACCTGAACACCTGAAGGGAATTTTGTCAAAGGTCAAGTTCAGTGTGACCTTACAAACTATGTTTTTGGCCATAAAACAAGATTTCTTACGCTAATTATGACAAGACTTCATTATAATGATGAAGTGATGACATTTTATATCCGTAAGGTCAAAGGTCAACTTCACTGTCATCATAATGTTCTGCAGAAACATTTTTCTGACCATTATTCCACGTCTTAACTCAGGAACAGAAGGGGAGACATTTAGTCAGATACTGAATTGGTGACACTAGTTTTGGGTGCTCACCTTGAAACTGTGGTGATTGTATAGATCTTCTGTGCTGCCGGGGGAAAGACATGTGTGACACATCCATGTTTTAGAATATGTAGCATCTTTGCAGCAAGATCCATTTTTGAAGCATTGTCAATATGAGTCTAATGAGACATAGATGTAAACTATAACAGAAACTTGACTGGTGCGCAGAGGCATACAACCATGGGGAGGTAATTCTAGTTATTACTTTTTAATATCTTTTTTTTTTTGCCATCATTGAAGGTGCAGAGAGAGTGCAGAGACTTCCTACACATATAGGCTGTTTCAACTAATTCAGAATGGAGGTTTATTCTCAGCCGTGTAAGACATTGTTCCTCTGTGAACCCTAACGAACCCTGTCCTAAACCAGAATGTCACCACTCTATCAAGTCACCAGGGCAGAGGACAATCACAATTCTGAAATACCAGGGAAATAAAAGCACCGGCTGATCTTTATATAGCCATTATTGCAGCTCTCAGGCCTCAGATGTACTTTCCGTGGAGACTTAAAGATGACATGGATACTAAACTATTAAGTGACAAAAAGACTGGACTTTGTGTTCCTGTGAACGAACCCTTTCAGAGCAGTCGCCTAAAAACTCCATCAACAGTAAGCAGACTGGTAAATGACAGCTACACAATTATGAGGCATGCATTGCTCGATTAGATACTGTAAGCAGGGGTTCTAACAGTCTCCGACACTGATCAAGTATTAATGGTTCTCTCTCTTGAATTATTAATATCTCTGGCTCTCTTGGACTATTTTTGTCTGGGCGGGCTTCTGTCTTCATTCCTCCTGTCTCCTCTTCATCTTTAACCCTGCCTTTTATCCTCAACTCCCCTGACTCACGCACAGTCTCGCACACAATTCGCAGCATTTCCTTCTTCTTCAACACCAATTTATTTCCCAGTGTCTAGACGATGTCCACATGGAGTTTTCATTCTCTGCAATACAATAGCCAAAATCCACATGCCTGTTTTCCCACATTTTTTTCTCTACCATTTATTGTATCTGCTGCAGTGACTTTTCATGACTGACCCTGAGTTAAAGAAAATCCGTTGTAATCCTCACAAGCTACCTGACGCTCTCTCTGCTGCACCCAACACACCATGAGGAAAAATCTGGGCGCCTCTGTGAACCAGTTGAACCTGATAAGAAAAGTGCTCAGTTTTGAATCCTGACGGCATGTCAGAAAGCTTAATTTGCACGAGGTATTGTACTACAGCAAAGGAGCATTCCTGGTTCTCTCTCCAAGTTAATCTCTTAATTCATCAGCAAGGACAAATGTCAGGGCGGCTCAGCAGCTTGGTTCACAGTTGAGTCAACAGCTTGGAATCATTGATTGGATAAGAGAGTGTCAAATAACAGGTGGAGATTGTTTGAAAGGTTAAAAAGCTCCTCGACACTACTACGAATTAAGGACCTGCTGAACTTTAATCTGCAACTGTGAACTGTCACGAGCTCTGTAGTCACACAAAATTTAAAGAATGTGAAGGATCACTAGCAAACAATATAAAAGCCATATTTTAGACATAGTTATTCAAACAGTAATACTTGAGGTCAATAAATTAAGGACCTTTAAGGAGATGCCTGAAGCACAGGGAGGAATTGCACTGTATTTATTCTTAAATACCTATGTATTGATTAGACCTGCAACAATTATTCAATCATCTATTAATCAGATGGCAACTTTTTTGATAATCAATTACTTGTTTAAGTGTTTTCATTGTCTTGTGTAAGGTTTCCAGATTTTAAACTTTGCTCTTTTACCTTGTCTTGACTTTATAGTAAATTGAATATTTTTAGGTTTGGGGCTGTTGGTTGGACAAAACAAGACATTTCATGACATCACCTTGGGTTTTAAATAAAATTTGATGGCCATTTTTAATCCTTTTCTTATTGTAAATAGACCAAAGGATTGTTAGTTGCAGCCCTGATATAAATAGCTGCAGGAGACTGAGTAGGTTCTACTTCAATGAAATCGTGCTTCTGTTTTGTCTCATATTTTGACACTTGACGAGTTCAGATGATTTAAATATAAACTGTCTAGCTTAATACAATAGGAAAGAGCCATAGCTAAGAATAGGACACAGCTCAATAGATTAAAACATAAACAAAAATAAATAAATAGAATTAACAGAAGAGAAATGATGAGAATATAAGTAATATAAAAAATAAAATAAAGGGTTTCTGTGCTGAATGGATACAGCTCCTTGTCTGTGCCCCTTAAGCATGTTGCGTGCGGAGAACCGCACCGGGGAACGGGCCTGTGCGCGTTACGCACGGCAGGAAGGTACCAAGGGCGCACCTGAGAGCACGTGCGCTCCGCGGAAATGAAAGCTTATAGGCCGCCGTGGGTCGAGTGGCCTAATCCTGGCTGTGAGGTGCACCGAGGAGGAGGAGGGGGCACGATGACGAGCTATCGGACTACTTAGGTGAAGAGAGAGGGAGAGGTGTCCAAGGTGTACGGCCTGCAGGGATTTACGTGGGCCGACAGCTTGGACGAGCAGAGGGCTATTTCTGGAGAGGATTTAAGTGTTTAGACGCTACATCAAATCCCGAGAGGAAGAAAAGGGAGTCCATCAATACCTTTTTGCGTTCAGATATCCATCACTGGCCAGACTCCTGACAGCCTCACACACTTTTTCCTCAGCGGGAAAGGTGTGGCACACTTTTTTATTTCCCCTCTCCTGCTTGGAGCGATGGAAATTTGCGTAAACTCAGCTTGAAACCTTTGCCCATTGTGGGTCTAAAATGCCACATGATGTTAAAAATGACAGACTTCCTGCCCTGTTCCGCCCTCAGTCCATCTTCACAAGTTCTGCTGCTGTGTTTTGAATATTTTGAAGGCCTTTTTTGGGAGATGGGGTTAATGAAGTTCCTCAAAAGCTCACTGTCCCCCAATGACAGGTGGACAGAAAACAGGGCGCAGAGAGCGACCTCAGAGGCCTGCTTTACACTAAACACAGTTACTCTCACTCAGTTTGGACGAATAAACACCCATGCATGCATGACATAAACACATTGCCAGATAAACCTCCTCATAAAACTGTGACAAAGCTTCCACAGTTGAACAATGTGACAGCACTGCAGAAAAGCCTGGGAGAAATGAATCCAGCTATCGATCCAACGCTTCATCTTACACTGATGGCACAGTTTTGGGCCTAAAATGAAACTTAATTCTGTTTCTTTGTTCCTCGGAAACAAAGGAGACACTCTGTTAGGCTTATTTAGGATTTCAGAGCATTTGTGTGCTCTGAAATAACTTGATTTCATCAGCTGCATGACTGCAGTCGCGTATAAAGTGATAAATTATGTATGCCAGTTTCTTATGTGGCAGATTCAGCAGGCTATAGAGGGACAGATGTTGTGCCAGGTCATCCAGACCCACAGTAATCCAGGCCTCTGGGCACCTTGATCCTCAAAGGCAAAGTTTTCTTCATTGTAAGACAAATAATCTAATTAAAATCACCTTTCAGTAACTATATACTGTAGTATCTTAATTTAATTGCACAATATTAACTGTCTTTTTAACACATTAAGGCAATTACGCGTGCAGCTCTCCAACATTTAGTGGTTGCAGTTTGTCCCAGAGGGTGTTAATTTCTTTACATACCCGTATATTTTCCCGAGAGTCTTGGCTGCCACGACCTTAAACCTGTCCGGCCGGATCTCCATCCTCACGACTCCAGGATCCGACCAATGTGCAGTCTTTGCGCGCTCCCGATTGAGCGCACAGCCTTCTCCTCTACTCCCTCCGCCCCGTGTTTCTCACTCACACATTAAAAAAAAACACCTTGATTTTACCTAATTGACTCCTTAACCTGTAATTTCTTGTGTAACGGAATCTCTTGTCAGCGACACTGAGATTTAATCTGTTTCAACTGCCTTTATAAAAAATCAGCCGAGCAAACATTGTCAGTCCCACTTTGCCAAAGTCCTCCAAACGAACTTCTTCACACTTTTTGGTGCCTCCAAAGGTGCACGGCGCGATGGAGGCAACTTTCGACAGGATTCGTGGCCAACCGGAGTCTCTGGCCGTGGTCCTGAAACCAGATTACCGCTGCCTGCGCGCTAATCTCTGCAAGTGTGTGTAGTGAGTGGAAGGTAGCATGTCACTTCCTTCTCCGCAGCCGGGCGTTTAAAGCACTGACTGTTCAAGCAGCGGCTATTCTTGGACCGGCACAAGCCTTGAATGGACAGCTGGAGTAAACACTGTCCGGTCGAAGCATATTATCAGAGTTCCCAGGTATTTGTTACAGGGGAGGGGCAGGATGCTCCCAGGACGCAGGGATGAATCTGGGTTGGATTTCTGATTATCTGAGTGTAAATGATCACAGGTTATTTAATATAAAGGGACTACAGCGCCTCAAAGTAAAATAAAATAAAAAGAAAGGACAATGAGATTTTTTTTTTAAAAAAAAAATGTCAGGTTCCAGGTTTTGTGGCTCTACTTTCTCAGCTGTGCGCCCTGTGCGTCGTGTGGTGGAGTGGAGCTGCCATAACACTGCAACCCCTTTCATATGGGCGCGAGAACTGCTGCATACCTTTAATTTTTAACAGTGATGTGACCAAGCTAAATAAATAATAATTAGAATATTAAAAAGCTAATTTCTGTGGTCATCTTTGCAGAAATTAGAGTGAAGCAAATGTTAGCCACTTGTGTTCCTTTCACATACACTGACATGTAGTTCAGTGGCAGCTTTAATACTGTATAGCAGTTATGTGCCATCTATCAAGAACATAGACTTTAAAAGAAAAATACTGCACTACAGTTAAAATGGTGTCTCTCCCCATCTTCCAACAACTTCCCATCTACCAATGTATTCACAATGTATGCATGACTTACTTTCCTTTTTTAAAAATCATTGCATGGAAAGTGGTGCACATAATTTTTTATTCTGATATCTGATATCTACAGCAGGGGTGTCAAGCATAGGCCCAGGGGTCAGAACCAGCCTGCCAAAGGGTCCAATGCCGCCCACTAGATCACCTTGCACACCCATAGTGATGCACTTGTGAAGGCTAAGAGGTGCCAGGTTTCGGGAGCAACTTAAACAGTGAGTAGCTTTCTTTATGTAAGTTTGTAAGTTAAGTTTGATGTGGTGATGTTAGGATTACAACACAGGAGTGTATATGTATAGAAACACGTAATGACAATAAGTAGTAGACAGACTGACTGTGGAAAAACTGAGATTCCTCTGAAGATATCACAGCTTGTCTGTCATCTGTTTTGTAAATGGATAAGCGTTTTTAAAATGCACTTCTTTAAACAAAATAAGGAAAAAAATTGGAGGTGTTTGTTATTTATAGGGAATTATGCAATGGTTTAACTGGTCAGGCCCACCTGTGATCAAATCGGACTGTATGTGGCTGAGTCTAAAATAAAGATCCATAAAAGAAACAGGCAATAGCCCTTTTCACTGATGACATCTTAATGTGTTACAGTAGAAAACATTGTAATTAACAGTGGTGGAAGTATTCTGATCCTTCACTGAAGTAAAAGTACTAATACCACACTGTGAAAATGCTCCACCACAAGTAAAAGTCCTGCATTCAAAACCTTATTAAAGTAAAAGTATGCAGACTATGATCAGTAAAATATTCACTCTCATACTATTATATACTGTATGTTGTTTTTGGAGTAATATTACAGCTGCATGATTGTGTATGTTGCATTTTACTGCTGTAGATGTTTAAAGATGTGCTCATTTTAACTCCTTCATAGACTGTTGGGTAATTTAATTTACAGCATCATATTCTATATGATCATCACATGTGAGAACCATGTATCCAAAAAGTCAATTTTCCATGGGGTCAGAAAAACAGCTTTTTACTTTGTGATGATGCATGTTCCCGCTGATCCAAGAGGATTTTTAAAGAGTTTATTTAGAGTAAGAAGTAGGAGAATTTTCTCAACACATAAAGGGACACTTCATCCTTAAGTTTATCATAAACATTCAAAATCAACGCTTTTGGAGATATATGGTTTTCAGTCGATGAGACAGGTATGAAAAGTACCGCTGTCAGAAATATGTAATGCAGTAAAAAGTACAATATTTACTTCTGAGAAGCATAAAATGTAAAGACTTAAAGTACAAGTTCCTCAAGTTTACACTTAAAGGGATAGTGCACCCAAAAATGAAAATTCAGCCATTATCTACTCACCCATATGCCAAGGGACGCTCTGGTGAAGTTTTAGATTCCTCACAACACTTGCGGAGATCCCAGGGGAGAGGGGGTAGCAACACAACTCCACCTAATGGAGGCTTACAGCACACCAGATTCAAACGTCCAAAAACACATAATTGAAACCACAAAATATCTCTATACTGCTCGTCCGTAGTGATCCAAGTGTCCTGACGCCCCGACATAAAAAGTTGTTTGGAAAAACATCATTTGAACTCTGTTTTTAGCCTCATTGTAGCCTGCGCGAGACCGTGAGACATGGGCACCGCCTTCATGTGTGTTCACATGCTTTCGCTGGTCTCGCATGCAAGCGCACACATGTTAGCGCGGTGCACAGAGAGGCAGTTAGAGCTACAGGCTACAATGAGGCTAAAAACAGAGTTCAAATGACATTATTCCAAACAACTTTTTATGTCAGGGTGTCAGGACGCTTGGATCACTACGGACGAGCAGTATGGAGATATTTTGTGGTTTCAATGATGTGTTTTTGGACGTTTGAATCTGGTGTGCCGTAAGCCTCCATTAGGTGGAGTTGTGCTGCTACCCCCTCTCCCCTGGGATCTCTGCAAGGGGTGTGAGAACTCTAAAACTTCACCTGAGCCTCCCTCGGCATATGGGTGAGTAGATAATGGCTGGATTTTCATTTTTGGGTGCACTATCCCTTTAAGTACAGTACTTGAGTTGATCTACTTCGTAACATTCCACCACTAAAATTAATGATGGCTTAATTCCATTTAGCTGTCTCAGTTTCAAGGTCCTAGTAATGTGCATGCTGGCTAATTGTCACGGCTTATTAGGACGCTTAAATAGCATGAAGCCATCATTAATAATACAGTAACAAACAGTAACAAATTACTGTATTTCAGTCTGATTTTGTGTGTAACTAGGGGACTGTAATTAATGAGTATAAAAAGTAGAAATGACCAAGACAACATTTCTTTTATCTCTGGACAGTTTATTTTTTCCGGTACCACAGTGGACAACTACTGAGAGGATGGCTGGTGTGAGATGAGGTGCAGGAAAGATATTGATACATAGATATATATTTGGGGCAGATCTGGCAGTTGCAGCAGGTGGATGAGTTACTTCATCACAGCACAATTCTTCGGTATATTTCACCACCAACTGTTGCTGTAAAGAGTCTCTTCTTCTGCAGTTTCCTATTGTTAAAAAACCGAATGCTTGTGCAAAGTCATTTGCCTGCAAAATTACAACTAAGTCGGATGTGTGTTGCGGTATTGAAAAACAAAGTGGGCAACACCGCAACACACATCCGACTTAGTTGTAATTTTGCATGCAAAATTACAACTAAGTGTGAAAAACAAAGTGCGCAATTAAGAAACTACTACTTCTGCTTTCATACTGCGAACTAAGCATTCGACATCAGATGCAGCTTTTCTCCAGGTCCCTGGCTGATATAGTTCTCAGAGACTGAGAGGAGAGGAAGAGGGGAGGGAAGGGCATGGCAGAGGGAGGAGGGGACAGGCTGGGTGGCACAGAGATGATGGATGGAGTGGCTGAGACTGAGCCGTAACCGGCCCTCCGCACGTCTACTGCACTGGGGCCAGCAGATGCGTGGTAAAACACAGGGGGAGGGTCCATGTTATCTGTGACAGATAGATGAGGAACCGCATGTAAAATGTGTAGTCATTTCCTGTAAATATTTTTTTTAGATAGATTTGTTATATTTTTTGATGTTTACTAATAAAGCCACACACTATAGGCACCAAATCAATAGTTTAATTTTCTTTTCTTATAAGGCCTTAATAAACTTACACTTGGTCACTCTACTATTGAAGCTGCATCATGCAACATCATTTCTTAGTGCTTCCAAACGGCAGCAAGCAGGAAGTGCTTCAGTTCCAAGAAGTCATTTTGCACAACGGCAATAAGCACAACACAGCACGCTCATGTTTAATAACCCGATCGGCTGTGTTGCATTACAACAAATGATCCCCGAGAGACAAGATAGGAAAAAGATCAGATGTTGACGAGTCCAGTTTTCTCTGGGAGTCTCTCTCTCTGTCGACTGTCTGTATTTCAGTCTTTCACTTCCTTTTATCACTCTGTGAGAGAAGTGTCTTTACTCCTAGTCCTCAGTTTTATTTTAGTTTTCTCTGTTCTTGTGCCGCTTTGTAGTGAAGGCAGATAAGATGTGTGTATTTTTATAACCATGCGAGTTTCTGACAGTCCCTGCAGGCAATGCAATTTGGTACCAAAGGGCTGCAGTTTCCTAAAGTGTACGACTTAAAGAGAATAAAATCTATTACTGTACCGGAGTCATCGTGAAGCTGGGTGTGCAGGTACTGGTGTTTGGTGTAGAATTTGTTGTAGATGCAGTACACTGCAGCCATCAGGGCGAAGGTTCCCATGGCCGCAGCAATGAACAGACCCACTTTGGCGTTATCTTTGTCTACATGGGCATCTGCGGAGGCACAAAATGTGGAATGTGGAACATCTTTGTTATTACGGCCGATATCTCCAACACTCTGCAACTCACACCAAAACAATCTAGACTGTTAAACAGCCCCACAAGTAATAGGAAAAATATGTTTTGATTTTAGGATGACGTGTCCCGGTCACAGTGTACAGGGTGGACATTTGCAGCTCTACTGAACAACATTTCTTTTAACTAAACTCACACGTCCGTTTTGCATTTAAATGAGTGGTTTCCTCTTTTCTGAGCAGGTCCCGTATGTGTGGAGGAGAGGGAGGCGCAGCTGGGGCCTGATGGGCATTGATCTTTTGCTCAGACTGCAGGGTGCTCTGGGAGCTGCTCAGTGGAAACACCAGCAGCAGGCAGAGAGCTGCCAGGCCCGCCATGTGTCCACTGGTACGCCTGTGAATGAAATTAAAGATACTTGGAAAACTATAGAAAATGAAGCAAAAATATCATTTTTATCTGATGGTTTTCTAGTTGTTTTAAAAGTGTAGTCTCATGGCTGCTTACAGGGCTGGTTAGGGAGTTTAATGCTCACCATAAGTAGCCATATAAATCAATAATAGTCAGAATACAGCAGTCGTTTTTTCCTAATAATCATCTACACAGTTATAAAGTCCCCGCCTAGTCCTGCTCTAAAAAAGGCCTCTGAGTGTTTGAAAACTTCCTGTCCTACACAAACACATTCACTGATATGGAAAGGCAGGTTTTAACATTTTAAAATCATTCTCATCATTTGTGTTTACCTGAGGTTGAAGCGAGGATATTGTGTTTCTCTCTGTCGGGCGTCGGTCCTGTCCTCTCTGCCTCTCTGTCTGACTGAAGTAAAACTGCATCCAAGACAACAGAAACCCTCCAGACACCGAATAATTCCAAGGGGACACCTGTAGGTACTCTTCCACACAAGCACACACATGCTGTGCTCACAAACACAAAGCAGCCTTACAAATAAATAATTAAATTCAGAGGTTTTCCCTCTGACCTTGAATTTGGAGTTTGAACAGACGTTTGAACTCCTAACCCTGAAATCAATTCGTATGTGGGTCTTTTAAAACATAATAAATGTTGTAAGGTGGAAAAACATTTCTATCTTATATGAAAATAGCAAACCAAACACGGGCTTAAATGTTTTTGCAGAGGTCACAACCAGCTGCAGCATGAAGGTGTTCAGCAGAGAAAAGCTCTGACATGAGTGCAACAGAGCTCCCTGCTGACACATAAATGTACTGCTTTAATTTAATAGTCTACAAGAAGTGGTGAGCATTTGAGTCCATTTCATGCGAAGTCCAAACAACTATAATGCAAATAAAAAAAATAGAAAAAATAAATAAATAAAATAAAACAGAATAAAAATGAAATAAAATAGAATTACACATTTTAAAAAATGTATTAAATATGAAAGTTAATGTAATATATTAACCTAAGGGATTTTTTGGACAAAGATATCAGATGTTATTTTGTTGTTAATTTCATTTATTCATTGATCTGCTGACAGACAGATGAGAAATTCTCCTAAAATTGCTTATAGTATGTTTATAGTCAAGAAGACTGTTTTATTTTTAGATGCATACAATTAATAATATTTCTCGATGAAACATGGAAGTCTTTCTTCATGGTAGCAGACAACGTACAGTTCCCCAAATATCACGGAATACTGACTTCTTGGTCTCATCTTTAACCGTGTGGTACTCTGACATGCATTGGGCCTGTTTGATATGTCTATTACATTGTTTATGTTGTATAACTGGGTTATGCACACAAATATATATTCATACATTATCTCTGATTATTTCTGAGTGCCCAGACTATGTGAGTTTTAGAAGATGTTAACTCAGGGTACACACCTAACAATTGTACTTAAAAAAATTTTTTTAAAGGTAAATTATATTTTTATTTTGGAATTATTTTTTATCTAGATTTTTGTTACACTATCACCATCTCTATTTTATTTATTTATTTTCTCTTTATTATTCTTATTTTATTTATTTGTAATTATTTTATTTATATTGGTTTTGTATTTATTATTATTATTTTATATTATCATTATTATTATTATAACAATAATTGTCTTTGAATTCATTTTTATAATCACTATTACTATCTATCTCTATCTCTCCATGTATAGAAGTATTAACCTATGTATTGAATAGTCTGGATAGGCATTGAAACAATTATCTACTGACTTACTGTATCTGGCTCTAAAAATTTCAATAAACAAAACTGTGCAGGGGGGATTAGATATTTCACTCTACTCTTTAATTCTCAAATGTTAATGGATGATCTGGAGAGCTAGAGATAGAGATCTACATAGGTTAGTCACCTCAACAGTCTGGTATTTGATCCTCTTAGCTGACTGGTTTGAAACACTTTTAAGTAAAGTGTGTATCCCACTCACACACTCTGCACAGTCTTGCAGGGGCACTTGAGCTGCTCAAGGACTGATAGATGTGAAGGAAAAACAAAGACGTGTGCAAACTGTTCACTGAGTCTAAGAGTCAAAACAGTGTTTCATAAGCTACAAGCGGCAACTGCCTTAACACAAATCTTTATAGCCTTGAACATCATGTATCAGGCCACCTGTGTGTGTTCTGCAAATATGAGCTGCCAGACTTACACACACACCAAGTTACAAACTGAACTTCAAGTCCACCTACAGTCAGAGCAGGAGGGGAGGGCAGATTCATTTTCACCCTGCACAATCCCTGCTCGATAAGACAAACAAATCTTCACATTACCTCTACATGTTGTCCTCGTATACAGCTGTTCACAAGTTGTTTACCCTGGCTGCAGTTTTGTTATGCTTCAACTTTCCCAGGCAGATAATGGTGCAGATGGGCGGCAGCGCACAGCAAGTGATGGAAGTGGGTTTCGGTGGAGAGCGTGACTGCAGAAATGCTCTTTGCGTCTTCAAAACCTGCCAGCACCTAAGAGCTTTTAAGTGAGTGATGTAACCACCAAATGCTTCAGTGGAGGAGCCCTGTAAGAGATACTATAGAAATGAGTGTGCTGTGCTCTCACAAGTAAATGTGTGTAAGTTTATGCTCAGTAAGCCTCGAGTAGATAAAGAAAACATCACTGTCTGAGGGAGTAGTTTCCTTCCTGCCTCACCTTAACCTGACACTTTTTCATGCTCTCAAAACACTGAACTGAAACTATGATCTCTAACTGTAACTTGCTGATTGGTGAAAGGAAACAAACATCCTCAAAATCCCCTTCTAAAAGTGTCCAAAATCACTGAACAAATTAGCACTTCAGACCGTGTCAGGTGACAATGTTAAGAGGTCAAACAGCAAAGACTGATCAATATGCTGTTGTGCTGAAAGAGCATTTTAATTAAAATGGCAAAAATATATTACAAAGCAGTGGTATTATATTACATTTCCTCAACATTTTATACAGACTTACAGACTACATACACTATTGAAAAGTGAACATATCAAAAGAAATGTCTTTTTAAAACTATACATACGCTGGAATGCCTTTAACATGTTGTCACGTCAGCCTTATTAAGCCTGAAGGCACTTAGTGTTGGTACACTGACATTCAACAGCATAACATCAGCTCATTTTGATAGTAACCCACTGAAAATGTGAAACTACACCTTCAATTTCAGAAAAAATGTACATGAAAAGATTATGATGACCAAACAAGCAAGTCTAAAAAATGACTTTACAAAATAAACACATTAATTACATCACATACTGCACTGAACTCTGAAGTGAAGGAGTACTCGGGCCTGGTCGAGTCTGTTTAAACAAACATGCAGCAAGTTTCCTCCTAAACTCGAGCTTCGGGAAAAAAAATGGATCATGCAAACTTTCAATTTACAAATAAAAAAAAATGACAGAAAATCCATTACAATACATTTGTTCTTGAAGAGCTTCCACTTGTACTATATACATATTTACATTACAATATTACCTTAATATTTGTACCATGCCGTCACTTGACAAAGTGGCATAAACTACTGATGATTCCCCCTCAAAATACAGCGATTTTGTTGCTAATGTCTGATATCACAGTAATCAACATGATAAGATGATGGAGAGTTACATGTTCAGAGACTGACTTAATTTTTTATCAATTAAAAAAAAGCATTGTTAAAATATCACTGTAAACCAAAACTGAATGCTTTGATTTGGTACAGCAGCTGTTGGATTTCAGGTTGGTTTGAACATACATGTGTAGTTAAACTGCAGTATGCTCCTGCAAACAAACAGCACACACCTCAACATACAGTAAAATATCAAACTGTAGAACCGAAACAGTGACTCAGGTGTTTTTTGAGTTGTAAACATGATTACATGGCTTCTGTGTGGTGAGTAGCATTAATGCTATTATCATTAATACTCAGCATAGCTCTATCAAGTCTTTCCTGATGTAACAGTCTCACAAAATTTTTACAACTGTTGTTGCTTAGCTTTGAGAAAAATATAACATTGTGGCAAACTAACGGATCCATTCCCTTCCCTCCCTAGCTGTCCTGATTATTTCTGCACTGAGGTAACATCCAACAACAGCAACAAGTGCAGCATCTGACTAGACAGTAACATGCACCGTACTTATTGATCCTTACTAGAGCTGCGACGATTTGTCGACTTATCAATTAGTCGATCGACAGAAAGATAATCGCCAACTATTTTGATAACTGATAACTGTTTAAGTGATTTTTGATGCAAAAATGGCAGAAAATTTCCCGCTCTTCTCTGATTTATGTCATGTTTTTTAGGATTTGGACTGACAAAACAATGCATTTAAAGAAATCTCCTTGGACTTTTTTTTGACATTTGTCACTATTTTCTGACATGTTACAGACCAAACAAATCAAGACAACATTCGTTAGCTGCAGCCCTGTTCCTTACACAAAGAGATATGATGATGCTGCCATTTTCCTGTTTTCATTAAGGCTCAGCTTTTCTTGGCTGTAACTCAACTCAAACCATAACTCACAATCTTTCGCCCAGCCTAAAAACATTTCAAAACAATCGTCACATTCACTGTGCTGTAAAAGAACTCATTATTTAAAAAAAAAAAAAAAGATAAAAAAATTGATCGACAAAAACTTTAAACACAAAAAGGAGACTGTGGATAATGGTGAGACATAATTCTGTCCTCAACAAAATGAGAAGTGAAAAGTTGGCTGTATGGTTTAGGGTTAAAACGGCATGAGATTTTCATGGTTTGATAACCGCCTCAGAAAATATCATGTCTTCATGGTATCACGGTATCACATGATTATTAGTATCATTATTACTATCAATTACAGTGACCCTTAAAGGGATGAAAACAGTTGAACAGATTCTTTTTAAAACTGAAACTTGAAACCATTTTTTAAATGGACGTATGTGTAAAAAGTCTGAGAGGAAAGGAGGCGTACACGTTGCTTTTTCCCCCCCCAATACGTAGATCAGCAAATATAAGCAGTATGATAACCCTAAATTTTCATACCACAGTACATGGTTTTGCAGAACACCACTGCAACCCTTACATGGCTCCTTTGAATAATGAGGTGCATCTCACATGAATGCTTTTGTAACGGTGACAGATATACGATATTTAAGATAAACAGACAAGTGAAGGATTCATACAAAACAAATTAATGCAGGATTATGGCGTGATGTCTATGGCTTACACTGAAAACTAGGAAACATTGTTTTTGCTCATTTGGACAACAACTCTGTAACAATCAAACAGTGAACATTGTAACTCATGTCACCATGCAGCAGTAAGTTCCATATTTCCCATACTACTCACTTTTTAAAAGTTGTACTTTTAAATATTGTCCTCTGGATACTTTGGACTTAATTTAAGTTTCTTAAAAAATGTGGAAAAGGTTTTAAATATTAAAATAAGGAATCTTTTGTCCCACCTTGCAATGGCTTTCTGTTCCACAGCTGCACTAAAAGCTGCGAGATAACTCAACTGTCCTTCAAAATGGCCCACTGAACATTTGACTGCGCAGTGCGAGTCATTTCCCACTGTGCAACATGACGTCCAGCGCTTAGGTAAAAGAAGCCGCGCTCCCGTTCGTTCGGTCAAGGTCTGACATGACGGTCATGGGGGTGTCGCACTTGTCATCAGTACTAACGATGCTGTACTGACCAGTCTCTGTATCTCGGGCTGTTCGCTTTGTCCGGTCCTGCAGAACAGCGTGGATCAAGGCCACTGGGACGGGCATCATGGCAAATATGATCAGTAAAGCCAAAACAGCCAGAGCCCAGCCGGGGTACTCCAAGTACTCCTCAGAACCCTGGAGGAAAAGGAAACAGATTTATCTTTCAAGGACTTCAACAAGTGGAACATTTTTTTTTAACTCAACAACAATGTCTCTTTCCAGAAGTCATGACTCAAATACTCAAGATAATCCACAGACCTTGGTGTGAGCAGTTTCATGTAGGAAACATTTTCTTTCTATTACCCTACACCTGCAAACAGTATCACTGTGCAGAAGGAAGCGTGCATCTACTCATGGACGAAAAGTATCGGCCGCTGATATTAGCAAAAAACGGGCATCGGATCAGACTGCATGGAAAAATGCCGATCCATGAACTCCGATCCAGTTTTTCACGGACTCCATGCCAGGTTTTCCGGCCAGCCCAGCGCTCTGCGATTCAAGCAGTCCATTCCAGTGATCCGCTCCAGCTCTTACTATCAATTCACCAGGCCAGCATGCAGACGGCAGATACACAGAGGGTAGGAAGAGTAGCGGTCAATTTAGTTAACTGACTATTTGTTTTCTGCTCTGTTTTTTGAGAGTGATATTTTTATTTGGTTTACACTCTTACTGTTTAAGTAAAGAGCACTGATGGCATTGTTTTGGGCACAATTAGTGAAATTGGAGCCATGGATGGACTACAAAAACACTACTAAAATAACTGAAAAGGAAAGGCTGCATTGTTTGTCTTGTGGTGTTAATCTATTTTTTATTTATTAGGGGACAAAGCACAAGTGTGTGGAGTCTTGCTGCTATTTTAATTTCATTGTTAGACATTTTAAAGATTTCTTGTGTTGATTCATTTTCTATTTATTAAGGGGCCAAAGCAGCCAAAGCAAACCAGCTATATTTTTTATTTAATGTTAATGTTCAAGTTTAAAGTTTATTTATTTAACCCTGTTAACAATAAACAGGTCAGTTTCTCATACCAACTGTTGTGGATCATTCTAACTAACCTGATTAAGTAGTTGTTCTTTGCTTGATCAAACCTTTTCTAACATGACTGACAACAAAATAAGTGAATATGTATAATACGTGCTTGGATCGGATCGGTATCGGCCAAAACTCAAGGCTGTAATATCGGTATCGGATCGGAAGTGAAAAAGCTGGGACATCCCTAACGAAAAGCTCATGCTCATGACAGAACAAGATGTGCTAGGTGAGCTAGCAGTAGGCGCACACTTCCTTCTGCGCAGTAATACAGTTGGCAGTTGTCGTTCAGTAGGAAAAAAACAGTTCCTACATGAAACTGCTCCCAACAAGGTCAGTGGATAGGTTTGAGTAACCCAGTCATAAATTCGGGAAAGGGACATTTGTTAAGTGTTTCAAATGTATTCTTTTTGGCGTTGAGCATCAAAAGCCGAGTGCCATTTAGTTCCATTATATTCAAGGGCAGGCAAACATTTCTATGGCTGATATCTCCAACAGTTGGCAACTCACACCATAACAATCGTAATGATTAATAGCACGACAGGTAAGGAAGAAGAAACATATTTTTGATTTAGGTGTGAACCTTCTCTTAAGAGTGTATTTTTTCTCTTTAATACAGTTCTCCATACCTTCTCCTGGTTCCATGCCAGATAAGTGGGGCGTTTGATGAACATGCGAATGGTGGTGGCGCCCAGCAACCCCAGCATAGCGAGCAGGCAGATGTATTTCCACAGGTACTTGTAAATCACATGGGGACGCCAGCCCAGCATTCCCTCAATGTCATCGAGGAACCTTCAGAAACACAGAGTGGTAAACCTTCAGGAATTACATATTCATACACTGAGAAGACTCAGAGAGCTGAACTGATTAGTTGATGCAGTTAAGACAGTTACCTATAGTGTGAAAATAGACCTCACCTATCAGCTCCATATAGCCAAGACACACTGAAGCACTCAAAAACCACCACGATGATGA